TTTTTCAACATATGATGATGCTCCACTTAGAGCTTGTTCCTAGTAAAGGAGATAATGTCATAGACATAGACATGTAAACCAATAATTATCTATACGATTAAATAAAAGCAGATAAAAGTAGATTAATTCCATAATATCTTCTATACAAGCTTCTTAAAAGCTTCATAGATGTTGCTTTGACTTCGTAGCTATCTATAATTGACTTTTTAGATTAGAAACGTGGCCAACAAGTTAGCCATGTGCCACACATGTTGGTAGCTTGAAGAACAAGCTAATTATATAGTGCATACATAAAAAACTTACCTTATAAGGTAAAGCATGTGTCATACAAAGTCAACACATATTAGAAACCTTATAGAACATCACCATGTAGCTCCTAGTTAGATAATATATATAGAGACAAGAGTGAACTCTTCTTTATTCTTTTCAATTCCTTTCTTGCTTCTAGTCTAAATTCAAGAGTCTCTAATTTCTTTGTCTTTTGGCAATACTCATTTTAGTTTCCTTTTAATATACATACATCTTTATTTTGATTTTATTATACTTGTTTATTTACTCTCATCAAGTTCTTGTCCCTCACACATTATTATAAATAATGATATTTTTAGGAATGACCAAATCTTTAAATATTTATTAAAGTAAAAAAAGAAATTTTGTACAAAAATAGCTTGTTTTCATGAGAATGCTTTTTAAAGACTTCATTTCTAAGGATTTTTTTTTAATTTATTTAGGATAGAAGTAGTCCAATTCTAAAATTCTTTGAATTTTATAGCACTTTTAAATTTTATATAATATGGTGTTAGGTATTTTGAAAGAATATAAAGTACAACAAATATAAAAACTATTTCATCTTCTCAATATATCTATACCCACAATTTTTGTTATAAAAGCTAAATAATTATGGCTTCTTTTTAAGAGTACGATTTGGTCCAAATATCATTTTATATAAATAAAAAAATATTTAATTATTAGAAAATTCTATTTTTTGGCAACAAGATTAAGTAATAGAAAGTTTTTTTATAATAGCTTATGCTCAAGTTTAGTTAAGTATGTCATTAGTTCTTCAATTTTTGTCGAATAAGATTTAAGATCAAAGGTCAGTCCACCATTGACAAAGACTAGGATAAGTTAGGAGTTTTTTTTTATTTATTAGGGCTTGGTGATTCATAAAGATATAGTTAAAATTTAAATGACAGATCTTTATATAGTAATCCTATAGGAATGTTCTATTTTTATTAATAAAATATTTTAATATAATAATTTTTTTATTTATTTTATTCCTATATTTTTGTAGCAACAACAAAAAAAAGAAAAAGAAAAAGAAAAAGAAGTAACCTACTGTGCTAAATACATGGTCTGAAATTTATAATTGAAAAATATTTTAAGCTTATATTGCTACAATGTTAATATTTTGATAGATCAATGCTAAAGTAATCTAATAAGAAGAAATATATACATATATATCTATATATATATATATATATATATATATATATACATATATTTATATATACATATATTTATATATTAAATCTTGTATATTTACAACCATTTTGCTACATTAGTATTGCAAACTTTTTTGTAGCTAAAAAATACTTTCTTATTTGATTTTATTTTTTATTTTTAAATCTTTACTTATTTTGATTGATTTTATATTTGAATTCCTATAGTAATTATCTTATTTTTTTATGTCTTATTTATGTTATATTTTTTAAATTTTTTTACTCATTAATTATAAATATACGGTTATCAAATTATAATTAAATATAATTTCTTATTGTCAATTTTCATTTTTTTTGTTTTGATATGTTTGTTTTTTTATTTAATAATTAAATATATTTATTAATATTCAATGCAAAATCTTTCAAAAAATAATTGTGGGTTTATCTGATTTATTTTTGGTATAAAACCAAATCACATGAATTATTGTATAAAATAAGATTTGAATTTTTTTTTTTGATAAAAAAATAAATTTTTAAATAGTTTTTTTATTTCAAAATGAATTTTACATAGTATGCAATATTTATTAAAAAATCAAAATTTAATACATTAAATCATAATACATATAGTAGCTAAAAAACATACCAAAAATGGTTGTATAATTACAAATATGTATAAAAAATGCAACATTTTTATAGAATGTTAATGTAAAAAATTACCATTTCTATTATTTTTTAAGAATTTAATGTTTTAAAATTATTTTTGACCTTCTTATAATTTTTATGCTTTTATAAAAGTAATGTGTATGTCAATTAGAGACAATTTTTTATTCCACCATATAAATCTATTCCTTATTTTTATAAAGGATTATAGAAAGTTGGTTTTGAGTATAATGGATCATTTTTTAAGAAAGTTCTACCTAAGAACAATTAAGGCATGAAAAATGAAAGAGTAGGTATTGAAGAACTTGTCTTTGTATAGATATCCTTTGCACAATGCTCTTTTTTGTAGTCATGTCCATGTCAAGCTTTGCTAATTTAAATTTTTGCTTGGTTATATTGACCTAATCCAATTCTTTGCATAGACATTCCACTATAAGCTTAGATTACATTTATTGTTTGTTTTCCTTTTTATTAGAGCTAGTTAATTTTTTCTTTGGTTAATGCTTTTATTAAGTATCCAATTTGGTATCATTTTTTTCTTAAAAGGAAATTGCTGTTCCTATATGATATCATATCATTGTTTTGGTTAGATGAGATGGATGGCAAAGTATGATTGATTTGTAAGGTTGATGTTGTATGTGTAATTTTTGTCACATAGAAGATCTAAGGATCTAGTGGTGGTCAAGAAGTTGCAAGAAATATGTGACAACTAATAGAAAGAGATTGAAAGATACTATTTTCATTAAAAGGATTGTGATCCTTTTGTACAATAACGTCTTTGGCAATAATCTTACCAATTGTGGACAAGACCTCTAGTTTCAAATTTTTTGGATTAATCGTTCAAAATAGAAAGAAAGACTTATGTAGAGTGTGTATAAGTAGCTTATTGTTTGAAATTGATGGTGCATATTTGTTGCAAAGAATTGTTTTCTCAAGAGTAGACTTGGAGAAGGTACCAAATCTTCTACATTTTATGTTGTAACTCAACAACTAATACTTGTGTATTTTAGAAGATCTGATTTGTTGTTTTTGTTGCACAAGAGGTGATTAATCAACATCATATGGATGAATGCTAAATCCTTAATTTTAATTTTTAGTTTTGAAAAAATATCAAAGTACTTAATTCTACAAACTTGTAACTCATTTCTAATGTCTATTGTTAATTGGCCTGTTTGGCGGCCTATCTACTATGTATTGTTTCTTCCACATTTACTTTGTTGACTATTATCATGTTTTTTGGATTTTATCTTATGTTCTTATTCACTAATATGAAGCCCTTATTGTCTTAAAGTTGAGTCTAGATTGTTGCACCTTGATTAGCTTTGATATGCTTAAGATTCCAATGTTCTTCATTACTAGTTGATTAATTGATATAGTCATACTTAGACTTAGTTTTGTCACTCATTTTTATTTGGTTTTGCTTAGCTTGTTCTGAAATAGAGCAAACTTTGATCTTGTGTTTAGTGTCTAGACAAAATCTATACCTTGTAGGTAAATTATTGTACTCTATTAAGATAGGTTTGTTTTCTTTTTTTCTTTCTTTCTATAGTTGCATTAACTATATTTTATTACATGCATAATCTGCAATCATAAAACAAAATATTTTTAAATAGTTTATTGACCTTAATTGAATTATATTATGAAATAGCTAAAGCTAAGATCAAAAGTTTGCTTCAATGTTATACATTACATGTTATAGATTTTTTTTTATAAGTTAAAAGTATTTCATTTACTAGGACTTTATTTAGGGCATTGTTAATGCCATCACAACTTATTCTTATTATTTTTTTAATTAAATTTTATTTTTATTATATTTATTTATATATAATTTTAAAATACATATATATTAAAAAATTTAACATAAGTTTCATATTTTTTTTAAAAAGTAAAGAAATGTGTTAAGTAGATGGTAAATTGTAGTGGCAATAATAGAAGGGTGGTAGTAATAGTAATATCCTCTATTTATTGAATATTTTCTCATGCACTAGTATTTTCTTTTACATTGTAATTAAATATTACTATTTATTTAAATGTGCATCAAATAAATAAAAAAATTTGCAATATAAATTGAGATTCTAAATTTCTATAGAATTTTTATATTTACATTGGAGAATTAACTGAATAAAATTCTTATGATCATTTGTGAAATATTAAAGCTATTTTCCAATAAAAATAAAAAAATCAGTTTAAATTTCAATTCTTTTATATTTGAAGAAAACACAAAGTCAGAAACTAAAGCACTTTAAAGTATCGTAGACCAACTTGAATACAGATCCTAAATTTAACGCAACATTATTTTACATATGATTATGATGAATTGCTCAAGCATGCACCAGTTACGAAAATTGTGCTACTTTCAACATTAGATCTAATCTCTATATTTAGTGACAGGTGGCAAAAGCACACGTTGCTTCTAGAATATGCTTCTTTTTTATATCTTGTGAGTATCAACTAGCCAGCATCTGGAAATTTGTAGTGCTGAAGGGAAAAAGAACTCCCTTGATCTCAGACTATGAAAATGCCGAAGGCAGAGGGCCAACATGTGCATTCAGTGGCAATCTAGATTATAAACATAGTTAACCCACAAGGCAGGTGACTGTGACCCTGGTAGCTGTCATACTAAATGATTCACATGCAATTTTTCAGCTTTAGAAGAAAAGAAACCAATAAAAAACATACCAAGGAGCTGCTGAGAAGGTAGTCAAAAACCGTGACAAACAAATATTTTCTGTCAACAACACTTCAATTGCAAAATCTTCAATACATCAGAAACCAACAGGATAATTTTGATCCATCAAGGAAGCAAAACAGACAGAAAACTTTAATGTACAAACAATACATAACTTCAATTTACGCTAGCAAAAGACATCGATTGCCAAAGCGAGGGAAATCTGGACAGAAAGGGAAGATGATAAGTTGGTGATGAATTTTTTACGTATGGCTCGAGCTTTTAGTACAATGGAGTCTGATTTCAGACCGCTCTGTATGAAATGGGCAGGACAAGTCACTACAAGTGTAAATTACCTGCTGGAGGTCTTGATTGATCCCTATGGAAAGGATAGATCAGCGCACCTAAAGTTGATCAATAAATTGTATAATTCTTGCTCGTAATGAGCTAGCAGAAAGTACCCTGAAAATTAAATAGGAAACCAAAATGCCCTTCAATTAGGGCGATATTCACACAACAGCTTAAGTTCATTCGTCTACTGTTAACACACTAAGTTGAACGTATATTTGTACACCTCATTCAGCTGATTTCGAGGGACGCTCGTTCACAATCTCTTCCAACTCCTCACCCCCTGGGACTCCAGCTCGCTCTTTCCAAAATTGTACTTGTCTCTTGAGACGCAATATTTCTTTAGTCGTAAAGTTCTTGCTGGGGTCGTTCATGATGGACCTTACACGAATGGCATAACTGTCCCACATAAAGCCGCCATTAGTGTAAAAAGAAGATTAACTGTCGTTTTAAAAATGTTGGGATGCAGAGTTGGGAGACATCAATTTGCATTTACTAATGTTCCGAGGACTGTTCAAGATAGAATTTAGCAAGGACTCCACTTGCAAGATTGGAATTGGCAAGAAATCCTGACATTGTGCATAAAAGTTAGTCCAGGGGGATTACCAGAGGGAGTTATGAGTCTCATCAACGTTGGAACCAGCCGGAGAAACATTTACAAACATAAGAGCTTTGGCATTTCCACCGAGTGAATCGCTCATAAGCATCGTCAGTTTATGGTTTCGATAAGGGATATGTTGCTCGTCTGTAGCTAGGGCACTGATAACATCTCCGAGTGCTGACAAGGATTTATTGATGCTTTGAGCTTCCTTAAGCTGTTCCCCACTAGAGCCTGACTTCTTCACTCTCTCTGACCCGGCCAGATCAACAAGACTCAGCTGCAAAACATCCACAGAGTACTTTTAATCTACATTCACCTTTGGTGTCGACCGACTTCAATTAAAATTATGGTCTAAACGAAACTTCAACCTTAAACTGAACCAAATTTAAGGTTCAAAAAACTGGTTCAAAAAATTTATCAGATGATGAAGTCTAATTCAACATGGTTATGCCAGCACCCATTGTTAAAAGGAAAGCATGAGTGGCCTGAACTAGGACTGCAAATAATCAATGTTAGAAGAGAAGAAAATACTCTGTGAACAAGACCAATATGTCGCAGAAAACCAAGCGTAGCAACTCACCTTGCCCTTCATTAACACTTGGCTTTGCAGGTTGGTGCTCTCGACGATTATTGATAATATAAGATGTGACCGTGAACTCTCAGCATTCATTTGAGTGCCAGATGTGTGGCGCTTCTCCAAGCCCTTAGCCACAACAGATTCCAGCTCCTCCCGTGTCGCTACTGGGATGAGAGTTGCGTTTTCAACTACCACCATACCCTGCTCAATATGACCATATATCACTTTATAATTGAAACATGACCAAAGCACAACACAAATCTATTTATTTGGTCAATCGTCAAAGACTGATCTTGTCAGGAGGAGGCTTACCTTGGAATCCTTTTTGATTTCGAGCTTCTTTGGTTTGGTACCATTTTTGGATAGAAGCAAGTCAATAAGAGTGTCCTGATAAAGTTCTAACATGTACACCTGTCATTCATAAACCGATGTATTGTCATGTAAATCAAGTTTCTCAAAAGCATATCAAGAAGAGAGGAAGGTTAGGATCCAAGTTGTAAACTCCTTTCCTGAAAGAAATCAGCATAAAAATTTATTATCCTGACACAATTTCACTGTTAACACTTTTCATGGAACGAATCAAAGGAATTCAGTGAAAACCTGCAAAGAGAACTGGAACTTATTGGCATCACGTTTGATGCAGCTGAAAAGTTCCAGAGTAATTCGGGGTGTGAGCCCAGGGTTGGCTTCTGTTCCGTATATTGTGTAAGTTTTGCCTGAGCCTGTTTGCCCAAATGCAAAAATGCACACGTTGTATCCATCGATGGCCGACTGGACCAAGTACTGCACAAGCAAAGCGATATGATCGATACAAAATATAATATAAAAAACACTAATTTTTCCATTCTACGACCTGACAAAATGAGGAACAGCAACTGCAGTTTTATGTCTTTCGTATGAAAGTAAGATCCTCACGCCCAGAAATATTCAATACGAAGTAGCTCAAACGTCATGAATGAAAGCTAAATCCTAGTAAAAGAATACTTAAACAACACAGAAGTACTCAATTCTAATTGTATAATCACGTTACGAAAAGAAGTTGGGTGGGACTTGAGAGAATACCTTGGTGTCCTCAAAAACCTGCTCCTGAGTAGCAAATTCATCAAAGATGTGATCAAACTGGTGTTGCTTGATCTTATCATCTTTCCATGGATGCTCAATAGAGAACTCATCACAAGAAGTCAACACCGATTGCTCACCTCCTTTGACCTCCTTCTCACTCAAGGGCCTCCAACGGGCATAAACCCTTATCTTACCCTTCATATCTGTAAATAAACAGATGTCAAATCTAATTGATATTCTTCAAGAGAGCAGAAATATTTAAAGATCTAGCTAACGTACCTGATGATCTAGAAAACCCTATCATAGGCCACAAAATAAGGTCAGATGGAAAGGAGATGCACAGGGCATACCTTCCATCATATTGAAGTACCGCTTTCTCAAAGTTTGCTCCTCTTTATATAAAGCCTGTAGTTCTACTATCTGATCTGCTTGCCTCTTCAGAATAGCTGCAGTTTGCAGATTCTTCCTATCAATGTCCTGCATGCACCACGTCCATAATAAGCCACATGCATGTCAAGTTTCACAAATTTCCCGGTCGACTTCCACATTCATATGAATTTAACAAAACATTATTGAAGACATTGACAATGTTCTTCACAGCCACACCATAACACAAGTCAGAAATCGTGCAGCCTAACAAAATGCAGGTGTATGATCACTTTACCTCCTTCATCTCCCGAAGCTCCTCTAGCTCCTTCACATTGGCTGCTACAGTCTCAAATTCACCACTGCGGGAAGCCAGCGCTTGCTCTGCACGACTAAGCTCCTGGGTGCGCTCTTGCAACTTCTTCTCACTTTCCCCTACTCTCGCCCTAAGCTCATCTCTCTCCTGTTCAAACTGATGTTCCAGCCCTCTCGTCTGTAGATAACATCAGACAAAACAGTTGCAGTTCAAGCAATGGGTAGTCGTGCAGAGACACGATGTACATTGCTACTTTAATGGGATTAACCCTAGTGCACAATAGCAGAGACTGAGCGCTGTGATAGCGAAAGTTGATACTGAATCCAAAACAATAACCCCCAAGACTGCTAAGATTATTTCTAAGAGGAGAATCGGAGAGAAAGTTACCACTATCCTACTATTCTTCCAAAAAAATAGAAACAAGTACCTCATCAGTCTTATTCTTTTCCAGACGGGCAATCTTCTGCTCAAGAAGCTGTTTCTCTTTGAGCAGATTCTTTGCCTTATCCTCTTGTTTTCTTAAATCTTCAGTCTTAAGTCTCAATTCCGTCCGAATTTCTCTAATCTGGATTAATAGACACATCGATAAAATTGATCAGTGCACGAATCAAGCTTGGTTCGAAATACAACATAGTAAATAGGTCGATGTGCCAGTTTCAGAAACTAATGAAAAGAAGGAAAACTCGCACGACGAATTTAAGTTTAATAGCGATCATTTACACATAATATAAGATAAATTAGTCATACAAGTTATACATATTCCCATATCGCTCATTACATGGTCTATGATACATGACAGGACTGAAGGAAACACCAACGATGTATCCAAACCTGGTTTTCTACAATGCGAATCTGTTCATCCTTTCTGTCTTTTCCAGTGGCAAGTGAGGGCTCTCTTTCTCTTCTTGAACGAGGAGTTGGAGTCCTCCTCGAAACAGATTCGTAATCGCTCAAGTCACTTGCAGCATCATAGCCAGGTTGATTGCCTGGCACAGATGCCATTAGCGCAGCTCTCTCCGTAAGCGCTGCCTGCAAACATGTTAGTGTCCAATCTCTCACAACTAAATAACTTAAATAATTAAAAAGCAAAGAAGAATCCGAATGGAAACATCCCAGAGGAATCTATCAGAAAGGTTATGGAATTCTATTCTACATCAAGTGTTCACATTCAAGAATCCTTCACAAAGTGAGCTCTAAAACTCAAAACCTTCAACCCTGACAAATCAAGGTACAGAAAGAACCTGTAACCCAGCATCCATCTCCGCCAGCTGCTTCGTCAACCGCTCTCGCTCTTCTGCAATCTCGCAACGACTTTGTTCCTCAGCACGAAGAGCATCTTGCAGGTCTGCTAGCTCTTCCATCACCTGCGTTTCTCTTTTCTCTTTCGCTCTAACCGCCTCCAAAAGCTGTCGGACAATATAACAAAATAGGTAATCATCACTCGAGGTCCTTGTCCTAAATTCCAATTCATAAGCTTCAGCATTGTGCGGATATGTATGTCATTAGACAAACCTAAAGGATCACATTTGTCAGATTTTTGAGCACTTGCCTGATCGATCTTCCTTTGTGATTCCTCTAGCAGCTTTGACATCTCCTGTACGTGCTTTTCATAAATTTCAAGACCTGCAGGTTTGCTAATTTGTGTTCCACCCGCATCCACTCCATTTGTTATCTGTCCATTGGGGATATTTCTTGTTCTAGAATATCGCCGCAACATGACATCATTTATATGTGTCTGAAGCGCCATGCATATGTCTTCCCCCTGCTCACCAAAAAAAAAAAAAAAAAAAAACACCAAAAGAAAAAGAAAAACACATTCAATATACAAGCAAACCAACTTAATCGGTTTAAATGCATAATCCACTAAGTACTAGGAAGAGACAAACCTGTTTAGTCTCAAATTGAAAAATGTGGAGCACACCCGCTACACGCATTTTGAAAAAGACAGCTGTGTTGCTGCTGCCAAACTGCATTATGTCACGCAGCTCAGCTGAATGTAAGTACTCCATGGGCACTGGCCGGAAAAAGTGTACCTGCATTGCAACTCTAGTAAATTTAAAGCGCCGACAATGACATCATAAAAAAAACTGGTCTCTATGCAAGTTGGAATTCTGAAAAAACTAGGATTCAGAGCATGTCGATGCAGAACCATTAGCAAATAAACTGCATCAGGAATCTTCGATAGATATTGCATTCTAAAATTATTGCATTCCAACACACCCCACGCTTGTTGATGCCAAGAATGATTCGCCCTGGCAGCAATCCTATAGGATCCTGAATTTTGAGGATGCTAAAGAACACAGAATTCCCATAAGGCAGCGAGCGAAGAATGCGAAGCAGTTGTTGCCTTGCTTCACCTTTTGTTAGATGTGCCTGCACGTAACCACCTCTATCGTATTATAGCACTATTACAATTTGATTCGTGCCTGATAAACCTAATCATCCCTCATGCACGAACTCTACAAATGTATTCCTTTTCACAACCTTCAAATTATAGCCGGAGACAAATTAGACTTGAAACATTTGCAAAAGTGTGCTAGTACTCAGTGATAATCTTGCGAAGGACTAGAGTCTTACCATAGCTCGATACCGGTTCAGGATGTTGGACTCCCAGTCCCGCTTGGCCCTAGTTATAGCTATTTGCTTAGGCAGAGAACCATCCAACAATGCTGGCCAATCTCTGCCAAACGATATGATTATCAGGTGAAGAGGATTGTCTTCATCGTTGCTGCTAGGGTCCAGACAATCTTAGGGACTCACATAATGATGGGACATGGCTAGGTTTAAATGCTACATGAACAAGTTCTTCACTACGGCACTTAGTAGATGTCCCATAATATCAATTATTTGAAGGCATGTTTCACAATCGAGTGTATGATCAGACTTGAAACTCAGAACAATCGAAACTAGCAACAGGGACTGAGAACTTTGAGTAATACAATTGAATCACAGAAGTGGTAAAAATGAGGCAAAGACTAACAGCAAACCTACATAGTGCGTTCTGGATTTGAAACTGGACCAATGTCGACCAATATCTGCAGAGCTGCCAATTGAGCTGCATCATCTTTTACAACTGGATAGTTTCCGAGCATGTAATCATGTTGTGACTGCGTATCCACAAAAGAAAGTAAGAGATGAGAAACGAAAACTTCTTCTTGTTTAACTCATACTGGAGCAGTTTTGCTGTAATCAAGCTGCACACATAGTTGAAAAAAATACATGGAGTCACAGTGGTATGTTAGTATACTAGTGCAATTAGTAATGCTGCCCAGGATAGCCCAACCAGCCAGTGTTCTATACACACAAGTACGACTTCCATGGGACACCTCCGTACCAATATGAAATTATCAAGGATCTAGACGTGCATTAAGAGATCGATGTCATAGAAGCACATAGAATAAGTACGCGAATAATAATAGAGAACAATCTCACTAATCCGAGTTAGAAGTAAGATATGAGACAAAGTTAAATCAACTCGTAACTCCACCATTCCTCTATCCAACATCACACCTAAATTGTGATTAAAAAGAGAGAGGCTCTCTTTATGATTAACAATAATGTCTCAAAACATAATTCAGGCACCTGATGTTGGTTTAGGTCTTGAACTTGGCAAAAGACTCGCTTTTCAACCCGTTATGAAATTTAAGAAACTTAGAAAGAGGTGTAGAGATGATGCACCTGTACATAGCATAATTGTACAAACATGGGCTCTGTGATAGTTTCATCAGATTCTCGAAAAAGACGTTTCTTGAATAGCAACCTACATTGCAATTCCCCCTTGGATTTCTCTTTAGTAGCCTTAAACTCCGCAACAATATCGCCAATGTACTTGTTATCATCAAGGCTAATGTGTTCCTCTGCATACCATAGATACAAAAGCTGTAGCAATCAGAACACACATACACAAAGGCTAATTCAGTGCTACTAAAATCCCAAAATTTAAAGCTAAAAAAAAACACGAACACATGCGCTTAAAATTGTCCATTTTCACATTTAGATGTATCAAAATGGCAGTGAGGTGTGAATTTTGACTTACCATAGTGCTCTATGCCAAAAGGGGAACATAACAACACAATAACGTAACAACTAAGAAGCAATATACGCTATAAAAATGTTCCTCGACAATTCAACACAAGCTGAACGCGCAGTGATGAGTTCAAGTAAAATACACAGTGCTCCTTCAAGATACACGAATGCCAAAAATTCTAGAGTGAGGTCATACAATACCATTTCCAAAATCACTAGCTTTCGAGCCAATCACAGACTTCCGGCACTCGAAGAGACCAAAAGTGCTGAAAGATGTCAGCTTTATAATGCTTGCAAATTCCTGCATTCAAACCATCCATCATCTCATAAGTCATAACATCCCTTATTTAGTCGTTAGCAAGAGCATCTATTTGAATTGAACTACTATAACAAGTTGACATCGCTACGACCACGATGTTGAAATCGAGGAAATTGGATACCTCAACTGCATCAGCAACAGTTGTAGATACATCGTAAGTGATTTCCTCAAATGTGTCATCTAAGAAATATGCTGTGGTGATCAACTTTCTACCCTCGAAAAGAGCTTCTATCTCTTCCTCAGCCGGAGTCGTCCTTCGAGGTCCTCCTTTCACAGAGCGCTTTAGAGCATTCCATGTATTCATAGCAAGCCTTTGGATTTCATAGTCTCCAGGGGCAATGGCTATCCCATGCACGTATTCTGAGAGGTGTACACCATACTCCTTACCAGGAGGCATTGCAGAAGCACACAGGAACAACAGCTCCCATGTCTTCATTAACACTGGCCTGTCAGTATAAAATACGTGAAGCAATTCAGACTAATACTTCCTTACCATGAATTCCACTGATAAAAAACCCAAAACAAACTCAAATTTGTCATAGTGAGCACTGTCATGATACTACTATGGATTAAATTCAAGGTCCTCAAGCTGCTGATCATAAAGTGTCAGTCTCCAAAGTTGAACTTTCTTCATTGACGAAACTTCCATTATCCCAATCACTCTACAGTCTTCTAGAACCCGGAGCCTTGAATTTTCATACATGGTCTCGCAGCAAACTATTCTCTTTAATTCACTGAAACGTAGACATAGATTATTTCACCTATCTGGGTTGTTGCGGGTCTGTTTCAAAAGCTGAGCAAACAGTTCATCACGAAGATCAGCCCGTTTCAAAGTGTGGTTGTACAGCTTCAACACCATATCGATTTGCTCTTGTAATGTGGGAAAAGGGGACCCGGCAGCGAGATCTGCTCCTGTGTATTTTAGAACAACCTGCAAATCAGCATATTCACCACCCACTGCAAGCTATAAGACTTTGGCCAACCTAAACATAATCGTATTCATACGCTCTATACGTCGAATATACCAGTTCAACTCATACAACTTCCGCACAAATAATAATCAAGGCAGTAGAAGGAAGAATTATATACTTGGAAAAGCTTTACGGCCCGGGTCATTGAATCACTATTTAGTCGCATCAGGGAAGTGGGGATTAGATCCTGCCACACCACCATAAATTGTATTCAAACATAGGCATCCTCTATGATATTAAAGCACAAGTCTCACGCACTTTTACAGCATGAACCAAAACAAATTGTTCTTTCAAAATGCTGAAATCCTTGCCTTGGAAACGTTTAAGCTGGAAGACAATCACATTGATAACCTTGAGGGGATCTTCATAAGTGCATTTCGAACTGCTGTGGGAACAAGAAATGAGATAAAAGTACATGAAATAAAGAAGCCATTGTTGTTGAAAATATCCCGAACACACGTCTGACATAGTAGCTTACACTCTGGAATGATAGCATGTCTTCAAGCGTGAACCTTTCTCGACCAGTAACAGTCAACCTCTTGCCAACAAATAGTCGTCTTCCCCCAGCCTGAATGAGTCTTTGCATTGACTTCAAAAATGCTTCAACCTGCGGCAAGTGCAAAAAGGTCATATCAGCCAAGAATGTGCACATCTTAGTAAAGGCCAAAAATGATTTGGAGTTTCATGCGAGAATTACTCTACAATTTTCAATAAGCAATCGAAGCTAAAGTTCCCTATTTCCGATCCGAGAAGAAGAAAAGACTCGAGCTTGAGGAGTAAGTAGAAAAGAGAAAGCCAGTACATCATAGTGTGAGGAAAGAATGGCATGAACGCCCTTCAGAAGTATAATCTATCTGATGTAGAGGTGCCATTAACGAAGGCAGCCAGAATGAACGCATCCCACGGGCATATTCAACGAAACATACCTGATATTTTTCCAGTACTGTCCCAGAAGCCAACAGGTCATTCGACACGGCGGCTGGCGACCTACACAATAACGCATCAAAACTTTGTTACCAGCTATCAAGCAGATACTATATGGGGGTGATTGAATTACATGGGTGACATTGAACTTCGTTCAGTTCCGCAAAAACAAGGAGTCTGTCACGTAGTGACAGACTACATTCACCAGAGACGAGAAGTCGAAGCGAACGAGCTCGTGGAAAAAAATAATGGAGGGATAAGAAAGGTCACCCCTCATTAACAGCATTCTCGTTATCGCAGCCCTCGTTCTGGATCTGACAATTTTCTCTACTGTGTGAGCTCTCACGACTTTGTGGCCTCCTGCGCTCAAAGCCCAGTTAATGTAAAAAATCAAAGTTCGGCTGGCAAGTGCTAATGTAGAAATAAATTCGAGAACAGATATTTGAGAAGATTCAGTTTGATTCCTTAGTTGAAATATCTGCACGTTTCGCATTGAAAATGAATTCATTAAAAAAATTCTCAACGAACCATCACGACACACAGAAGAAAGAAACAAAACTGCAACGCGGAGAAAGTTCCTGTATAAAGCACTAATTGAACTGCTACAACTTTTAAGAATCAGTATATCTGACTAATCAATAAGATTCTGGAAAATATAGAAAGCCAGTCTCACCCTCATCCCCGTCCTCAACCCTCATCTCCATACTCTTCCTCGTAAAAAATAATCTTGGAGGTGCAATAACATGTTTCTATGTTCTTAGATCTTAATCTGATAAACATTGAGACAACTTACGAGCCCATATAATCCTCATCGCCATCTTGATCGTCACAATTCATGATAGTTGCTGAAACTTTAAGGCGCACGGGAGTGTTAGTATTCGAATTAGAGAACTTTCTTCCAACATACTGCCCCATTGAACTCGCTCCATCCGACGCCATTGATTCACCTCCGTCGAGTCCCCCCCCCCCCCGCCCGTCCTACACACCCTCAATTTCCCTGCTGCTATTTTACCCTACTCTTCCGTTCCACACATGCATTTTCTCGATATCACACCAGAACTCCACTCCACGCCCTTCATCCTCCATAAACTCCATCCTCGCAATTCTCCCTCTCCAGTACCCTACAATTCTTCACATCCCCATGTCCACCCACCCTTAACACACTCGCAAGCGCAGCTGCTCCCAAATACAATCGCCAGAAGAGTTTCCCAAGGATTCAATCCGGGCTTCCAAACCCTAACCAAACTCACTCTGTTGCACACAGGATCCAGTAAATCCTAAATTGCTCTACCAATTCCACCCACCCCAGGAATAACTTCATGATTCAAAACGATTGACCTCCTTATCAAACAGAACGCCACACACCCCACCCTAAAGAAGTCTGTTGCGGTGGTCAATATCCTAAATCTACCAAGAACTTTCACGAACCACCAACCCTGGCCCCTCCTCTGCCACAACTCTCTAATCTCCCTTCCACCTCAGAAGAATCACCAAACTCTACCAAAAGTTCCTGCAATGCGCATATAGCCGCTTAAAAAAAAAACATGCGCTTCGAATGCTTGTACAAGCGAATACAAAAAAGCAGGATCGAAATAATGACTTGGCCTGCCATGATTTAAAAAGGCCACTCCAAGAGTTCGAGGTGAGATGTTCTGGGGATGATTTGTTGGTTTGGGTGTTCGGCGCAGCATAGCTCTTTCTCATTCCCACCCTGCCCACTGAACATGAATGGTTTTACAAGGCACAGTCTATTTTTTTCAATCTTCTGTTTACTTTGCCCAAATTTGCAATGTTTTCTTTCTGTATGAAAATATAAACTTACTACGGCACCCAATACCCTGCTCCAAACCCGGATGTCAACTTGGGCACCCCTTCACTCAACCTCTGACTATATTCGGGTGCCACTTTGACTCAAACCCATCCTGCTGGCTCTCTAGGACAATGGTCTACTGCGCTGGAGAAATGTCCTGAGTATCTGCAATCTGGAACAGCGAAACTCCATTGATGGAATTGGATCTCACCAATTCATCTGTTGGCGTCAATGGAGCTTGTTCTGAAACTTAAAAAGTAACTGTAATGTTAAATATGACTGGTATCTCTGACCCGTTTGTGTCCTCTTTCCTTGACTAGAATTTGGCTATGGTAAGTTGAAATGTAATTGCGACGGATGTATGCTGCTGAGAGCTGGTGGGGAGCATCGAATCTCGAGTTTTCTACAAGTAGTTAACAAGTTCGACTGCGTGGTTACACCAGTTCAGCTACTGTAACGCTCACTTTGGGTAATGTGTGGTGATGAATGATTGAAGAGCTTAGGCACGTTTACGAGCATCGTTAATGAGTTCGTTAACCAATTTGTCTTACACTGCTAGCAGTTTCCACTCAGCAGTTTTCTTTGAGTTTAGAATCGCATTTCACTTCACAACTACAGGGTTTGATAGCTGTGGGCCTCGCTGAGTTCATACTGATTGTACCATTAGAGTTTGTGAGTTGGAGGCACTAACATGACACCATAATGTTCTTCTAATGCTCGGGCATCTCAAAATCTTCTGATGGATATGGTCCTCCAGCGAAGCCAGATGGAACACAAATGTGTAGCTCAAGCATCTGTTGAATCGGACGCGGTGACATTGCCTGAAGGTGGGGACATTTCAGAGAATTTTTCGGATCTTGATTCTGTTTCGAAAACCATAACCTACAAAAACAAGTTAATGTGGGAATCACTTCACCAACCTGTACATGTGTTTTCCACCCAAATGAGAAACGAACAACAGAACAGGGAAACGGCGTTGAAGAAGCGAGACGCAGCTTCGCGTCCGGAAGGAGGAGTCGGAGAAAGCTGCGGTGCGTGAGGGTGTCAACAAGTCATCGCAGGAGGGACAGGTTCATGGACCTCCTCCGACACTTTCCACCTGGTGTTCTACACCTCAGCGGTCAAATCCTGTCTTCAATTTTCTAGGCATTTTCGCGTCCTTCAATCGTTGCGGCTTACTGGGATTCCAATGGTTTGAGATTGTTAAGAATGCTGAGAACGCTGAGATTGCTGAGAACACTAAGAATACGGATGCATCTAATTGATTGAGGATCCTTGGTTGAAAGTTGTCACTACAAGCTGCTAAAGAAATTTATATCGAGATGAATACCGGTGCCAATCTCGGTCCCCACATGTTTAAATCCTTCATGGATTGTTGTGGGCGACAGCGAAAGGTCGGAACAACTGCATCATGTCTCACCGATTTAAGACACTTGAAGAATTTGATCAGATTGACTCAGCCAAAGGGGAGTTCAAGGCGGGTCGGAAGCGTGGACCACACATGATCTATATGATTCACGATACACGACACATTACAAAGCAATAGCGTGAGCCTGACTGCAAGGATGTGTGTACAAAAAAAACACTTTTTCAAACCCAATGCCGATATTGTTGCACATCAAACCATGCCTTTGCATTGATATCTCGAGCATTAGAGATGGATTGTCCCTCTTAGAAAGTTCTTCACTAAGATTGAACGCCCGCAGTAGGAATGATCATCTCAAATCAAGTCACCCGGTGCTCAGTTTTCCTCATTGGCTAGTATCAACAGTAAATTGCGAGTGTTAAGTTCCGTTAATTACAGGAGACAGCAAGCTGCAAGAAATCAGAAACTTGTGAGTTGAGAAACTACTAATCTGTCGTACTTGTTCATTGCGCACAGTTTGAAATTCTAATTGGGTCTGAAATGGAAACACAAAGTACGTTTGCAACTGGGAGGAAAAGAGGAAGAAAAGGAGAAGGAAAAAGAAGGAAAGAAAAGAGAGGGAAGAAGAAGAAGAAGAAGAAGAGAGTTTTCTCTTCAGAAAGGTTCATCCCAACCAAAAGGCAGGTTCTGTGCAAATCTCGGAGGCTGTAACTCTGCATTGGATGATGGAAACTTGGACACGCACTGGATTGATTATCTTCGGCAGCTTTGCCATGTAGGCTCTGGTAACTGCGACTTCAACCTCCTGGCTGGCGCTTTGTCTGATAAGGATTCATTACCTCCCCAACTCTCTGATTCATGCCAAATCCTGTGAGTGTGGGCACCGGCTTCGTACCCAAAGGCTTTTGTTCAAGCAAGCTATGGCGGTAACAATGCTGTAAGCTGCTGTCCAGATTATTCTACGTTGTCCTGTGATAGTGGCTCAAATAGGAGATAGACTGTCGAGTCTGATGAGTGCAAATTGTGCAGTCATATTGGAATTTGTGCTAGCGAGGGTGCAGGCATTCGAGTTTGAAGATGGGAAGGGAATCTGTCCCGCCTTGTTAAAATGTACTATTCGATGTAGACGCGGCAACTGAGACGCAGCAACTGAGACTTGAATGATGCACCTTAGGTCTCGAAATGCAATAGTTTATCGTAAGCTGCCCACGGCACTTTGATTGCTTTTCTGCAGTTTTTCTCTTCTTTCTTGACGCCCCTCGAGAGCTTACTCACGCTTTTGAAGTGATTGATATGAAATGTTTGGTAGTGTTGTAGAGATTTGCTCCAATTCTTAAGCACTAGGAAGGGGTTTAAGAAAGTAGGGCCTGGTTGTACGAGCAGCGCCTCCATTCGCCGCAATGCTCACTTCCATATCCTAATGTCCTCACAGGTTTCGCAACAATCGTATGACCAGCTCTCCAACAGAAAATGGCCTGATTTTCCTTTGACTTTTCTCTGGCATCGTTTCAGCTCGACAATATCCTTCTGAGCAATCGCATTTGAGCTGTCGAGCATGGCGACCAAGGTGCATGACCAAGGTGACGACCAAGACTTCTCTGAGATCGACACCATTCTTGCACAAGCCAAGCTGGGTCTTCGCAGGGACCGGTGCCGAGAACACAGGCTGAGACGCAACACGAACCTGTCGGACATCCCTGAGAATTCTACTCACGAACCCTCAAACGAAACCACCGCGTTTGCAGCGTCACAAGACACATCGCAGCCTGAGATCACAACCAGGGACGGGCACAAGCGCCTACATCAGAGACTCCAAATCTTGAGCTTCATTGCGCCGATGAAATGGCTCAGAGCCTACATGGGCTGCATGATGGCGGTGCACGACGACAACTACGACGTGGCTAGAGTCATGAAGAGGACCCGCATGATGGGCGAGTTGCAGTATCCCGCACATTCTTCACGCCAATAAGTTAGGCACGGCGTCGAATTTGCGTCACAATCCAACTTGTTCCATCTTTCTGGTGTTCGGGGAATCCTGACTCGAGGACTGCTGACGAACAACCTCATCCACAATCCCCACGCAGCAGAATTAGCCCCGAGTTTCTAAAATTGCTGCAGTGCAGCCACTAATACAGTCTCTTTTACTATCTAGCATCGTAGATTGTGAGAATCTGCGCAAGAGCCTCAGAATTCGCGGCCCTTTTTGATGAGGAATCTATTTAAACCTTCTGAGGCTATTTAAATCTTCTGAGAAACTGGATCATGTTGGATCGTCCATTGAGTTCTGTGTCCTCTGCTTGCTCTCCGCGTTGCACATGTGGGAGACACACAGACCTCGAAGCCTGGCTGTAGAAGTTTGACACTCTGCATAAGAAGGGACGCCTCGGATTGCTCTCCCCACCTCAGCCTTCTCACACTTTGTATCAGAACTGTCTAGATTGGCTTGTTGGCCAAAGAAAACATCACTCACAGCTCACAATTGCAGCGCCAAGCAATCTGAAGCTGTTTCTTCGATCTACTGACCAGGCCATGTATTCATGTTTCGAGATTCGCTGGAAGGTGATTAGATCCTAGAGCACCCAAGTACTGAAACTTTTGATAGGTTGAGGTTTTGATGGTGGAAAATGCTTAGAGAATGGAGATTATGCTGTCTTTTTCTTTACAATATTTTTGCTGTAGAAAGTTGAAGTGATGGACTATGTTGAATGTATTGTACAGGAGGTGAACACAGTTTTATGAGTTTTCTCAATATTAGAGGAGTTGCAATGGATATGCTGAAATTCTTGCTTATGTCGTGCTTTTATTTTGAAGTTATGGCAATTTTATTTTTATTTTTATTTGTTTGTTGGTAATTCATAATATTGCATGCATGAATTTGACTTCTAGCAAACCTGGTTGCATTGGATCTTTTACCTTTTAAATTTTATAGAAATTGAGTTGGAATAAATATATTCATATTTATGTTTAAATTTGATTGATTGATCTTCTATTGATAAAAAAAAAAAAAAAAAAAAAAAAAAAATCATATAGTTTTATAAATATGAATGTATATATGTTTATACTTGCAATATGCACAAGTCCTCATATAGGACATGATTCTACTTGTTCCACATTAACCAACTTAGGATACAAAGTTATTCACTAACAAAAGACATAATTGAAGGTTTCAATTTTTATGCATGCTAGAGCTGCACAAGAAGGGCAGCCTTGTATTTAAAACTCATTAATTATTCATAGGCATTCTAATTTTCCTATATTAGAAGAATAAAATATGTAGACAACGACCTATATTTTGATAAAATGTCCTACATTAAAAGGACCTATATATATAAATATATATACATATATTTTTTTTAAAATCACAACTTTCAACCACTGCAATATTTATGTTATATTGCAAGTTTAAATAATGATAATAATTAATGATAAAAGATATATAAAAATGTAACATTTAAAAAAAGCTATGATTAAATGATATTATTTTACTCCAATTTAATTTCAGCATTAAGAAAAAAAAGTCAAAGTAAAATTCTTTCTATTGAATTTGTGCATGTAAGCATTAACTTATTAGCTAAGTTATCAAAGAAAGAAAAGCAAACTCATCAAAACAATTACTGCTATTGAGTTTATGGTGTAAATGCACTGATGATTTTCAATACAAAAACTCTTCAGACAAAAAGTAATAAAAATATATATAGTAATTAGATTAAACATGTAGTACTTGTGTTCAAGTATATAATATATTATATGCATTTATTTATTTAGCTTATCCTTTCCCTCGGAATCTGTAGAGGATGGATACACAGATGAGATGATGGGCATTGAAATAAGGCTATGGAAGTGCTCTTGCTAAAGCCTGCAAAACTGGGCTCTGTAACCACAGACTGTAATGACCGTCACGCTCCATCCTCCTGTCTGTCCACATCCCTCATCCTTCAGCACCTGCTCCCAGCGTTTACGTTGTAGTTGTGATGCTTGCCTTCCACTTAAGAAACCAGGTCATATATATATATATATATATATATATGTGTGTGTGTGTAAACACGTGTTTTAGTATATATAACCATGAGCTTTCTTAAGGGAGAGGGGAAGAGGGGATGAGCTTCCCTGAAGGAAAGACCCCAGTGCGACCAGCTCGCAACAAACTCTGAGCCCCAGTTTCTGATGAAGGCCTAACAACCCAGTCGACTTAGAAAGGGGCAAAACGAAGCGGCAGATTGCGAGAGAGAGAGAGTACGAGACGAGAGTCAGTTGAGAGCCAGGCCTTTCAGAAACTGCTCCATGTCCTGCCCAGATAGCATCATCTGGCGGCAGATATCTCAGGTACCGCACTGAGCGTATGCGAAATGGCAGAGGACATGACCCTTCCTGCAAGCGTGACATTTCATGGGACTTGCAGATCGTAGTACTAGCTCCTCACACGATCCGGGCATCATGGGAGGAGAGGCCGCAGACGTGATGGGGGTGGGATGGGGTGGGGTGTCGCTGGAGCTAGAGCTGGCTAACTCTGCGCACTACCTGGCAATGCTGCAGAGCTACCTGGTTCAACGGCACAACTGGGAGACAATATACGCGTCCACTCAGGTTTTTGTGGAGGGGTCCGTGACCGAGACCAGGTGATCAGAGTGATTGAGATGGGAGAAACAGGGAGACTGAGGAAGGGTGTCGATATTCAACCAGGATAGATCTTGCTTGTGCCCACATCCGCTGACGCATGGTTAAAAAGACAGGTCCATTAACATCGCAATTCTCTCAGGCAGTACAGCGTTTTAAATCTGGAACACGACTTGAGAGGATATATTTTTTTATTTAGGGAGTTGCGCAAATTTATGCCAAAGTTGCTCTAAACAGGTATTATGTAGAACTCTTCTGGTTGGTAGGTATTCCAGCGATATGATCTTTTACTTGCTTCAGTTCTTTCCTTCTGTTTTATTTCTGAAATCAACTTGTTGGTGGTGTGGCGCGTTGTTCAGGGTTGTGAAGTTTATGAGAGCGAGGACATGCGAGAGGCCTGGTTCTGCATGAGAGAAGCTATGGCTAAGTCTGATGACAAATCTATCTCGAACCCATCTGCGAGGGTGTTTTTCGTGGAGTTCGTGACAAGCATCCAAACCATCGCGCCCGCTGCCGCACCCTGTTTCGCCGCCGAATCATAGACAGCATTGAACATGGATCTCATGGCGTCTATCCGCACGGTTTCCTTGTACCCCGACGTCCTGCTGGATTTGCCGAACTCTGCAAACAGCACCGGTTTCTGCAACGTGGTTTCGCTGTCGTTGATGTGAGTTTGTATCCATTTGACCATGAATTTCCGCTTCTCGGCCTCAGTTAGTGAAGGAGTCCTGCACCCCAATCTTTTCCCTCAATTACTTGCACTGTTTTGAAGAATGCATGAGGTCGCTGAACGTGATGAAGCGATGATAAGGGTGGTGCGTACCAGTTGTCCGGGTAAGAGTGGACACTTGCGAAATCCAGCGCCGAGATTTGCTGGTTTCGAATGAAGTCGACACCGTATTGAGTCGCGAAGGTGCCAGGATTGGAGCTTTCTCGATCAACCGACTCCAGCGACACAGCCGAGCTGTAGAAGCCTTCTAGGCCAACCTCCAGCATGTGATTCGTATCCAAACTCTTCACGTATAGCGCCATCTCCTCTAACCAGGCCTGCACAGAGCACCCCTGACTTGCTTCATAGAACAGCTGCAACTCTTAACAGTACATGCTTTTCAAGCACCGAATGGATTCGAGGAAATTTAAACTAACTCCATTACATATGTTAATCGAAGTTTTCATTGAAATGACGTTCATCCGATCCTCGGAAATGTTGTTTGCAGGCACCAATCCCACTAAAACGAAAGGACATGTTTAGGTTTAGGATTTGCTCAATTGTGACGAACTGGAAAAAAACTGGCATTGCAGTGAATGTCTCCTTGTTACGACATCGTTCAACTGTGAAATTGTTTCCATCTCAGAACGAGCTAAGTATATCATGCCTGGAAGACGTTTCCGGTAGGATCGCTACCGCAGCGTGGCTCGTTCATGAGCTCCCATGCAAAAATGGCAGGCTCGTCTCGGTACGCCACTCCCCCGATGGTGTTCACCCTCGTCACTATTGTCTGCTCGCAAAGGTATCATCAAAATCCAAACAAAGTTCAGGAAGAAAAAAACAAAACAAAACAAATAAATAAAAACAACAACAACAACAACAACAACAACAACAACCTAAATAAATAAGAATAATTTTCAAGCTGGCCAAAAGATACTCTGATTATCACGTCAAGATGCTGTGTTACCCTGATGTAATCCTTGAACCACGCTCGGATGGTTGCATCCGAAAAGAAATCATCTTCGGATGTGAGATTCGTTCCCGCATACGTGTTAGCCCACTCGACATACTGAGGCTTGCCTCCATAATCTGCGTAGTTATTGACTAAGCTGAGAATCAACCAAATGCCATGCTTTTTCGCCTCGGAGATCGCGAAGTCCAATCCCTGTGCAAGAAACTCGTTATTCTCATCCTCCTCAACTTTGCAATGGAGTCAAAATCCACAATTTTCAAGTTGCGTAGTATACCTGGAAAGTAGACTCGTCGAACATTCCCGGTGTTTTTTGGAGGGGATGATAGTCGGACCCATCGGCAAAGGCCCAGGTTCGCACAACCGTCACGCCCACCGCTGCTGCTTCAGTGAGCACATCGGTGACAACAGACCTGGTGGACTCTTCCGTGCCCATGGACATCAGCCAGTAGATGTTGGCGCCGTTCACGTACAGTGCTTTCCCATTCACGGTGAACTGATGGCCTCTTGTATTCACGAAATCGGAATCACTACTGACAGCCTTCACATGTCTACGGGCATGTCGTGTGTTATGCACGTGGTGAGTGAAGCTGAATTCATTCTTTGGACGAAGTGCGCCAACTTTTTTCGGCGGCAAGGGAAGCAACAATGAAACCAACAGTAAAATCGAAACCGAGAAAATTCTTGCAGGGAATCTCCAGCACAGAATTTTCATCATGAACTCATCAATTCTTAATCTATCGCTTCTCAGTGGTCCAACCTCTTCGTTTGCAGTGAAGTCAAGCGTCTAGTCTGAAATTTTGACCTCAGGGGAGGAAGAAGAATTAGAGGAGATAGGTAAGTTTTGCAGTGTGTGAAACAATGGTCGCGAGAAGCGCGGGAATTGGGGAGCCGACTGGGAATTTGAGAGCATGATGGGGGAGTATAACCTGCGGAATGATCGAAGCGCCAAGAGTTACTAATCAGTTGTCATGACGTATATAGCATGACAACTAATCTTCCACACAACTCCCAGTTGTCATGCTCTATACGTCAAAGTGACCACTGGGAGTTGTGTGGAAGATCATGAACATCACCGGAAACCCCGGATGCCAGGATAAGCAGCGACGTGATTCGGTGGAATTCATGCATCTCTCGTCGTCGTGGGGATCATAGTGGTGTATCTCACAAGCTGAGTACTAAAAAAGTCACTCTGCCGGAAAATATTCAGAATCTGTAGGCCCGAACCCTTCAATTGAAGCAGAAAATCTGGTTCTCGAATGCATGTAAGACTTGCAGACTGTGCAACGCTTCAGACGGCAAGGGAAACTGCTGTTCATGATTAAGTGATGAGACGGGATAAATTATCTAGTTGCTAAAGCTCAATGAGAATGATTCCAATTGGAATCATCCCAAGGACGTAGTTATCAAGACTCGGGGCAAAAGAGATTCAGAAAGTCCACTAGCAGACGCTTCCAGCTTTGACATGTAGGTGGTATGCCTGTATGATTTCCAGGAATGGGTCATGCGAAACTTGTGTGCACCTTAGCACCGTCCTAGTCCATGGCAAGCTGTGGAAAAGGCTAGCTTGAAGCAATATCCTACGCACAACTTCACAAGCCGCAACTGTACCTACTAGCCACAGTTCTTTTGAGGAACTGGTTCGAAGAGTGACCTTCAGCTTTTCCGTGTTTGTGCTAGACCATTGGAACTATTTCTCAGCCAGAAACTCACGTTTACTCCACCTCTTCTCCTTAGCGTAGTTCTGAGCAATCTCTCAGTTACAATGGTAGATCACTTATGCAATGTTATATCCCTTTGTTGCTGAAACGGGATTGTTGTGTCTCAGTGAAGAGACAGTCTGAAGTTGGCTATCATTTCAGGAAAACGACGAGAGACGTCTACCACCTCGCCGCGGAGGGACTAATCTGGAGGAAGAAGCTGTATCCAGCTAAACAAATTCGAGAAATCCCACCTTGATCTACAAAAGACCTCTCACTGGAAGGGCCAGTGGAAAGGTTATTCTGATCAGTGTGAAAATACGCAACTGTGTCTTTTCACTCACTCCTTGAAATCTTGGAGAATATTGCGAACATGCAAACGTGAAAGTGAGGATGTTCCTTCTATGAAATCGAGACCAACTCTTCAGTTTTTGCATTTCTCTTCCATTGAAATTGTGACTTTCACACAGTTTCTAACCGATTCTGCCTGGAGGGTTTTTTTTGTCTGCGTAGGCCCATGCATCGTGTCAATCTGCAAATTCAACTGTGCATTATGTTTTCGCGCTTGCGTCAAGTACTTGGATGAATTCGAGTTGCATTGTGGAATTTTTATTCATGAGAAGAAGATGAGAAATTAATCGTTTTAGAAAGACAACTGGCTTAGACAGATTCTGAATTTTGAAATCCTTGCTTGTGAAGTGAGAGTGATTTCTCTGCAAACGGTTGCGCTGTTCAAACAGTGGTGAACGGGTGCGTAGCGTTTCTGTTTGTTAGTGTTTGGTGCGAAACTGTGAGGAGGGAGGAGTTTGTGGGGTGTGAAAAATGGGGAGTTCAAAATTTTAAGGCTCGTGGTTGAGATATGCGACAATATTCAGAGTTGAATTCTTTGGGTTTGGTTTGGGGATGTACTTGACTTTTAGTTTCTAAATTGGGTTGCATAGCTAAATCATTGCCAATTATTGCAAAGAAACGGTATTGTTGATGGTGCCATTCATGTGAGTTATTATCTGCCTAATCGTGACCTTGGTCGTCCTGATCTTGGTGGTTATAATTCGTACACTAAACATCTCACAGGCCACGGAGAGGCAGCAGTTGCAAACCAAATCGACCTCTGAAGAAGTCCCTCTATTTTATGATTGTGGAGGTTTAGTGATCCTAGAGAGAGATTATAATGTTCTTCCACGATACCTCTGTTGATAGCCATCGGAATTGTTTCGTTTCTAGTGGTTCTGTTTCTGTTGCTTCTATCATCAGTACACGCAAATTAGATGTTCCTCTGCCTTTGGTTTTCTGTGTAGATCACAATTTAGCCTTACTAGGGTAATGTGGAAGCAAAAATGAAATTACAAATTAATTATCCGCCAGCCGCAGCAAGAAAAGCATAATTGCGCAAGAGGTGAAGTTGCAGTCATATCAAAAAAATTGGCTCGTTCGACAGCCCTAATCAATGTACACGGAAATCTTGCTGCAGTGAGTGTTATTGTAACTGGCACCTAAGTCCTCAAGACAATTTTACGACTTCAAACAATTCTGTGAACAATTACCTACTTTCCGATAAGGTTGTTGTGGAGATTACCTCGGTGCCCAACCAACAACACCACGACCTCATAGAAGCTTTACACATCTCTTCAGGTACTGAATCTAGCTATAAAAAAATTTAAAAAAAATAAATAAAATAAAAAATTACGAAAGTAGCATCTATCTTGGATTTAGCAATCGGTCGCAGGTCGTACGTCTGAATCTTATTCAAAAACAAATTCCTTCTCGATCTTGTTCGACGTGGTGCAGTCAAGTCTTTGGACGCGAGTGGGAACCATTTGCCTGGTGGATTCCAAGTTAACATCACCCGTTTGACTTCCATGAGTGAGCTGGAGTTGAGCAACCTAATCCGGGCGAAGATATTTTCAGCCGTTGGAAATTACAAGACAGTGGAGATGTTGTGGCTCTCGTGCATGAGACTTGAGGGCACCATCCCTTCCGATCTGTGCAACCACACGAAACTTGTAGAAATTGTAAGCTTTTTTTTTACACCCCATCGCGTTGCCCCTCCGTTCCACCGTCATGAATCAACATTCTGAGTAGTCGGCAAGCATGATCTTTTAAGCGGAAGGAGATTTGTAATACAAAACATCTCAGATCTCATTAGGCTGGCCTCTGAATCCTCTCAGATCTGGGGTAAATCCATCTGGAATATAGCACCTCACAGCATCGACGACGCCTCAACATTAAGAAGGATTGATTTTCCAAGTCGAGATTTGCTTATCAGTGGCCATACTTTTCCTCAGCTACCACCCACTTTACTTAAGTTCAGTTTTCATTAAAATTCAAAATTAGGAAAAAGAGGATGCCGAACATATTCACAGAAATTTTCGCTCGTGATGGCTACTGTACAAATTGCTAATTTTGGCAAGGAAATACCTTGATGTAGAGTTGTTGTATTTTACTCCCGATTAGAATCAGGATGCAAATATTACATGTGGAACCCTGTCGCTTCCTGGAAGTTTATTGCAGAAACATCGAATATGATCACATCAATCAAGATGACCAAAGTTGATGGAATGCGGCTTGTTGACTTGCTCACATCAGGACAGGTGAGAGACACTGAGTTGGAGAGGCATACATGAGCAGACTGGACTACTTACGGCGTCTGAGCTTGAGTGAAGGTTTAAGGATCCCTTTTTCACTTTCGAACAATTGCTTTTGTCAATTACGTGGTGGCTTATCGTGTCAGAATACTATCCAAATGTAACACTCGCATATCGTTCACATGATCCGAATACCCATCATCGTTAATCTCAACTGCAATTATACAAAATTCTCGACGTGCGAACTTGATCACTGACAGTTTCCGATGAGTCTTTAGAAGCACTTGGATCGAAGGTTCATCGGGAAATCTAGCTCATCGAGCCGTGTCAGACGAAACTGCTGCCACAACTTAGGCATGGCCAAGCTGATTCAGTAACTGATCCCATGCAATAGGTTTCCGAGCACTGCGACGTCTGCAGCATCGGACTCATGGTGCTGGAGCGTTTCACAAGTTGGAAATACCACAGTGAGTAAAACTAGCATTGCTGCTGATCTGTCGGTGGACCGGTTGAGCTCGGAACAGGAAATGATCCCCAGGGCGTTGACCCAGGATATCATAATCAGCGTTGACCTGAGATATCTTGGTCGGCGTTGACCTTGAGTTTGAGAAAACAACGCCGACAAGTGGGAGCATGTGTGCACATTCATTCATCCCATGCCCCGTTCGGTAGGTGTGCTTTCCTCGTATCGTGGTAATGGATGCGGGCAATTTTAACGATTTCTTTTCTTTCTTTCTTTCTTTCTTTCTTTCTTTCTTTTCATATTTATCCTTGCCACCTGCACACACTTTGTAAGATTTGTAATATATGGCTCAAGTCCAAGGGGAGTAGAGACCTTGCCCAGCTGCACACACTTTGTTATATTTGTAATATATGGCTCAAAGCCAAAGAGAGTAGAAGCCTTGCGACTAAGGAAAATGCTAAGGCAAAGTGGGAATAGCTTAGGAGAAGGATTCAGATGAATATATATATATATATATATATATAGAGAGAGAGAGAGAGAGAGAGAAATGTTAAATTGATTCAAGTTTTTGTCAAATTAATCCACATGTCTAAACTAGTATTCCACCCGCTCTGACTCCATCTTCATTCCTTGTGTTCTCCACATTCTCAAACTATGTCCCGACCACTTCCTTGTTCTCAGTCCTCCGTAGTGAGCAATTATTGTTATCTCTCTAACTCCCAATTTTAATATTTGATTCAAATCTAGCTGAATAAAGAACAAATTATATGTTACCACACTTGGCATTCCAATAAAATTATTCAATCCAATCTACAATCCATGTTGGAGGAGAGTGGTCTTTTTACATAGCTTCATATACAAAAGCCAGCTCTTAGACATGCTAATTAAGACTATTTGAAGAACAAGGGACCTATATTAGTATGGATTCAACAACACTATCCTATACATAAAAGAGGAAGAGTGAAAAAAAGCATCACATATTGATTGGCATATCATATAATTCCCTAGACTCCAATCAAATTAATTATAGAATTTACACAAGAATATTATATCCTTCATGCAATTTTAGGCCCTGAAAAAGAGAGAGCAAGAGACCGTGAGGCTTACAAACTATTCAACTTCTCAAAAATTCTTGCACTTGTATGTCAACTTAGATAGTAATTAATTAGGGTATGCATTGGGCCAATGTAACTGTGCTTGAAACTTGAGGTCATGAGTCACTAAGTTTCTGTGAAGGATTTGGTGCTCTAATCTGATCTTGAGGAAAGCATTTCCAAGTCGCCAATAGTGCATGATGGAGCCCACATGGTGCAATTTTCTTTTCTGTGATTTCATATAAGCATTTTTTTGGAACTAGAGGCTCTCCTTCTCTTCCTTGTCTTTTGTTCTCTCTCTCTCTCTCTCTTGTTCATCAAGTTCTATCATTCAATTATTCTTGATGATAATTGCATCCAATGAATTGTGTTCATCCTTGTGATCTTGGCCTCACCCCCCCCCCTCCTTCTCTTTCACTAATGGTAGCTAACAATTGATTTCATTATATAAGATAAGAGATATATTTATACAAATATTCTTTGTCATGTAGGATTGGATTTGAGTACAAGTGTCATGACATTCAACAGAGAGCATTTGGAATATTTTTCAAGTAGTTAAGCACTTCTAGAAATAATAAGGACGTATAAGAAATATTTCTTGGATTGTTGAACTATTGTAATAATGTAAACTTGGGTGTCAAGCAAATGCATAAAATATGTTGTGAACCTTGAAGAATTTAATTTCGTAGCAACAAATTTATAATAAATCTTATGAAGTGCAAGAACCAAGTTGCTCATCACTACTCAATATTTCTTGCAATTAAAGCATTGTAGGAATCTTATGTAACGGACAATATAGCAATAGCACTCAAATTTTGCTGAGGGCTTTATTCAGTTGAAATGCTTTCAATGCATGGTCTTTGCTTTTAATAATCCACTACCATTGAGCTTTCATTTCTTTATAGGATCAAGCCATAGCACAGAGCAATTTTGGTGAGATGCAAAGTATGAAAACATTCACAGCTAGATTTGAATAAAATATCAAAATTGGGAGCTAGAAAGACAACAACAATTACTCACTATACTGGACTAAAAATAGGTAGGAAAATCAGGATATGATTGGAGAATGTAAGAAACAAAGATGGAGGACAGAGGAGATACAATGATGGTTTAGACATGTGGATCAAATTTAACAAAAAAATTAATCATTTTAATATTTCTATATATAATTATATAATTATTAAATTTATCTAAGCATTTACTAAATTTATCCACCTATCTTAACTATTATCAAAACATTCCCCACAGCCAGATTTACATTGATTGAAAATCAATATAAAATAAAATAAAATAAAATAAAAATGTTAGATCTTCAAACCAATGATGATAGAGAGGTGGATTTTGTAAATGTCTTGATTAATTTAACAATTCTTTACATATACATATATATATATATATATATAACAAAAAATTTACAAAGCATGAATTGATGTCTATTGAAGTGGTTAAAATTGAACTTAAGACAAACCTAATATAATCAAAAATCCCAACCATTTAATCATTATCTCCATACATTGTGTATATCAATATGTGTTTTGTCTTACATATTGGCCATAGATAGTAGGTTGGACAAAACACAGATTAGTACCATAATTGGATGAATTTATGCAAGGATGGAATAATGTACCAACTAAGAATTTATTCCTTCAAAATTATTTTATTTGTATGAGGGTTTTTGTGCATTTCTTATATTTAGTTTTGGTGATTGTAAAATGCCAACTCAATACCTTCCAAAAGTAAGAAAATTATTTGTTTAGTTACTTGTTTATTTGAATTTATATCTATATATTTCTATAATATATGTGTAAATATATATATATATATATATATATATATATTATGATGATGATGTGTTTGATTGTAACTATTTATGTGTTTCTATAAAAAATAAATAAAAACTTATCTAAATTTGCAAATCTGTCTACACTCTTTCATAAAAGAATATCTTCTATTTCTTATAGGGATTTTGTAGTGTTGCTATTTTGAACTTTTATATCAATTGATGGACAAAGTTGTAATATTTAAAAGAGATTTATACTTAAAGTAAACTTAATTGATCAAAATTTAGATGTTGTTGTATTAATTTAACAATGAGAGAGAAATATGTCAATATTTTTATTGTAGTTAAAAAAACATTAATAATTTTCTCAAAAAATTCTTTTAATAATATAATAATATTGAATTGAGATTTTACTTATTATATATACTTATTTTTATTTTTTTAAATAAAAAAATCTAATTTTGACTTATAAAATTGTAAAATAAGATATGTTTGAACTTATATTTAAATGTGTTTAATTGATTGAGCTTCTATCTTTATTTTATGATACCATAATATTATTTTTAATATTAAAATATAGACAATAAAAAAATAAAATATTACTTAAAATAAAATTGAAAAAATTAAATAAGGAACATGTTTTTTTTCCATTTAAAAGTAAAAATATAGCAATACTAGAAGAATGACTACAATAATTTTTTGATTTTTAAATTAATTGAAATACATATATTATGTTAATGTTCTCATGCTGACATTTTATATTTTATTTTTATAAATAAATGTTTAAATTTTTTTTATGAAGAAAAAATATTAATAAAAAATATAATTTGGATTATTATAAAAAATTAAAAAATTAATTGTATTTTATTTAGGTTCTTCAATGTGCAATATTTTATAACTTTTAGCATATACATCACACTTAATTTTAAAGACCACTACAGCATTATGTAACATATTTTTTATTAATTATATTTCATATTCAATTAAATAGCATTAAAACCAAAAACAAAAAAACAAAAAGAAATTGGTATTATAGTCGAAATGAATCAATAAAAATAATATTACATTTACATATCATGTTTTTTTAATAATTTTTGTAATAAATCAAAATCTTATAATATTGATCTTAAATAGATGTAAAATAATTTTATGTTTATTTATATAAAAAATCATTGATTAGCTTACTATGGATTTTTCTTCTAATCTTTACAAATTCTAATATAAATATTCATATCAATGTAAATTTGAAGGGCAAAATTGGCATTGGAGATGCTATCTACATGTCTATGAATTCAATATCTGCTCATTTGCCATGTCAACTTTGATCCTAAAAACTATTCGTATTTCTTTCAATATACAACTGTTGCTAATTGCAAATTTAATTTATTTGCCAAAATAGATCTTTGTGGTGGAAAATAAATGATTTTTATTTAGCTCATTTACATTAACAAATTTGTATACTAACTTCATCTTAACATGCATTTTGATAGGTTGACTTATGTTTTTTATATACTATACAACCATTGCTATATTCTCTTTTCATTGCAATTGATTGATTAAATTTACTTTGAGAAAGAATATCTTGAAAGATTGCAAAATTTGTCTATCTTTTTGCTTTTAATATTAAGATAATCATGTAACAAAACATGCACTTGTAAGACAACATTAGAATAAATTTATTGCAAAAGCAATTCAAAAAGAGATTTTCCAAATAATGTATGAAGCGCTTGGGCAATTAGAATTTAACAAATAGATTTAACAGTGTTAGTTAATTTTTTCGCTGTATCAAACAAACAAAAAAATTACTTATATATATTAAAAAATTAAACTAACTGTAATGATAAATTTCAAAAGCACTCGCTGTTTAATTAAATATTGACAAGACAACATTTATATTTCAATTTTTTTGAATATTGAAATTAATACTAATATTATGAAGTATCCTATAATAAAAATCATTAAAATGATTGAACCTTTCAAATTCATAACTATTACATATGTAGAAAGAATAAGATGTTTTTTTCTTTTTTTCTTTTTTTATTCTAATATATATAAGTTTAAAACTGTATGCCAAAGAAATTCAATTTTATGCAATGATCATCTCTTTATGTTTTGTAAAAATAATAATTTTTTTCAATAATGATACAACATGAATTGATTTTTCAAATTATATATATATATATATATATATATATATAATTTACTTATTTTTTATGTTTTATTAACATTTAATACAATAATCAGTAAATTTTACATGAAAATTTTACTGCAAAAAAGATGTATAATGCAAAGAATTGGCGTACAAATACCCCACCATATTTCTATCTCTAATCTCCCTTAATTCATTAAAAGCAATCTAAACAAACTAAACATCAAAAAATGAATTCTCATGCAATATCCCTCACATATACTTCACAATTTGTGTGCCGTTTTCAATATTCAAAATTACTAATTTCGTTGATGAAATTTCATAAAACGCAACAAGGAGAGTGTGTCGGTGACCATCAACCGAATCACCGAACAATTCGGAAGCGCGGCCATGAGTGACATGGGAACCGATGCCCGCGAGAAGGGACATCCCCTTCGAATGGGAGCGAGAAGTGAGCCATGGTCGGCGAGATCATGCGGAGCTGCAGCGGAAAATCCCAAAATCCTCATGAGCTTCAGATTGACAGGCTTGTGATTCTGCGCGAATTGGGTGGTCGCTTCGGGTAAGAAATTTGTATACCACTCAAGGCTCACGTCATCAGATTCTTGCGCTTTTCTTCCCTGACTAGCAAGAGTTTGAAATTGGGCCTGGTGAGCTCTCGAGGGTGGGATTCTCTCAGGGCAGAAGCTGCGTTCTCACGAGTTTCGGCTGACTCTCTCGTGCCTCTCTGCGGCAATCCATTGTTGCAGACCCAGCCTACGAGACCCATTTTCAGAGATCGTATTTTACTTGCGAACGAACCCACGAGTTGAGAAAGATGGCGAACGTTGCAAGCAAGGAACTGCCCTCGCGCAGTCTCTCTTTTCTGCAAGCCACAGAGGGCAGGAAAAGAGACGCCCGTGCATTGATTCCTCTGGAATTGACGGCTTCACTCTTGCTCGGATTTCTGTCTTCACACGCCTCTGGTACGCTTCATCCATCCATGGCTCCTCCACCATTGGTTTCCAAGCCCTGCGCCGGAAATTGTCCACAGCTTTATATGCTTTTCGATTCCAATTTCTTACGTTTTCGATCCAGTGGTCAATCTCAAACTTCACAGACAAAGATATCCTCCGGATGACATGCGCATCGCTCAAATTCCTTCAGTAACAGTTTTCGTGTGCTGCAGGTTATGAATGAAACCCAGAAGCGATGTTACGGAGAACCTGACAACTATGATTCAGGTTCACGTTGAATAAATGGTGCACGCGTTTTAGTAATTGAGGTTAATTTGATTAATCTTTCACTTGTTTTTGATGAAACTGTACCCGTTCCGATCACCCAGACCGAGATTAACGTGAACCTGATCTTCATACTCGGAAGCTCTCTCACAGACGAGAGGTTCTAAGATCCAATTGGTCCCAATCTTGCAGCTGGGCGGGCTTCAGATGTTTGTGCAAATATCCGATGAAACCTTACATCTCTGATAATCTTGCGACATCGATGTTTGTGCTTGAGACCGAGAGGCAGATCGACTTTCTGAGAAGAACCTGGATACAGAGGGGGTGAATGTCACCTTCAAGTTTTAGTGTGCCGCTGATGATGGTCGCACAAATTTCAAGCTCTGAGTAGCTTGCAGGAGAAACATTGCAATTTTACGTTCATTTAGCTTCGTCGGTTACAAGCTCTTCACTTCAAGGGATGGAATAGTTTCAGGATAAACCTGTTCAAAGAGTGATAAACCTCTATACTACTTTCTCCGTCATAAAGTTGCAGGGCGTATATTAAGAGATTCAGATTGACTACTACTTGACTTGTTAAATTTGGTTACTTTTTCCCATCTCATTCAGGGTTTGCAAGTTGTCAACAATCTGCATGCGCATGGACATGTCATATTACTAGAATAAAAAAGGCGTTCAGTAGTACTCTGTTTTTTGACAGAGTGTGCAGGTTCTATCTGCCCAGAGAGAGAGGACCATGCAAGTTACAATGAGTTTACCATCTCCTACGCATGAACGGTGCAGGCATGCAGCCAGAGGCTAGCACGAAAGATTCCTAAGCAATCGAATCCCACTTTCAATCAGTCTAACGAATAGAAAGCACCATGGTTACGAACCTTAACTGAGATTCTCGGCAAAAGTTGCGTGGAATCCTACGTTCAAACAGTAATATACTTAATGGACATTAAAGAAACGTGCACAGTGAAAGACGGCGCTTGTCATGATCATGTGCCAGCACACAATCCAATTTTCCAATTTCGACCAAAAGTGAAGACGGAAATGCGTATGCAAACATCCATTGCTGAGTGTGCAGGTTCTATCTGCCCAGAGAGAGGACCATGCAGGTTACAATGAGTTTACCATCTCCTACGCATGAACGGTGCAGGCATGCAGCCAGAGGCTAGCACGAAAGATTCCTAAGCAATCGAATCCCACTTTCAATCAGTCTAACGAATAGAAAGCACCATGGTTACGAACCTTAACTGGGATTCTCAGCAAAAGTTGCGTGGAATCCTACGTTCAAACAGTAATATACTTAATGGACATTAAAGAAACGTGCAGAGTGAAAGACGGCGCTTGTCATGATCACGTGCCAGCACACAATCCAATTTTCCAATTTCGACCAAAAGTGAAGACGGAAATGCGTATGCAAACATCCATTGCTGACAATTTACTTGCAACAAAGTGGAACACAAGTGGAGAACCACGCGTCAATCATGTTCTTAGCCAAAGCCAGACCAAGTGCGTAGTAGCACTGATCTTAAACCTTCAATTACCATGAAAGTAACGACACATGAATGGATGGGCAAGCATGGAGAAAATCCTTGGAGCCTAAATGCAGACTTGCCTCTTCATGAACGCAGTACACACATGCAGCCTTGCCTCTTCGGGATCTGTAAGCAGGATGCAGAATCCCCTGTAGCAGGTTGGAAGCATCTTACTAAGAATAAACTCTTTTGGCTTATACCAAAGAGTATGCATGCAACATGCCATAGTCTTTTCTGTCTAACAGGACCATTTACGTACTCCAATTCCAGGAAAGATGGTCCAAATTCAACATCTTCGGCATCATGGTCACGGTGGCTTGGGCAGTTTGGAAAACTTTTTTATCAGCTCATTGAGCAGACGCCAAACACGCACAAGCACCAGTTTTGGCACATATCCAAGCCATGAAGATTTTACGCACAAGTCGTAACTGTGGGATCCCATCTTAGTTTACAGATTTGTGGGAAGCAATATTCAAGCAAGACAACCGTCACACCTTCGCAGTTTGAGTAAGGAAACCCACAAGCAAGCAAGGTCGCAGCCATCCACGCAAGTCCCTTTCAGACCAGTATTCTGATATAAGGCTTGGCCTGGTAGATGAAACGAAAAACCTTGCTCAACTAACTGGATCAACTTCCAGAGCATTGCTAGAAGGCGGAGTGTGAGGACGTGGAGATCCTATGTTCTCAATGCCGAACTCCGTATTAAGTCTCACTACCTCATCCCACATTGCATTGGAAGCTGTAGTAATGAGAGGTCAAGGTGCAACAGACAAAAAAGCACACAGCAAGATGGGTATCACGATAGCTAGTCAAAACGAGCAGGGAAAAAGGGCTCCATGAGCATATAGAGCAGATAAGATTGGAAAGAAATCAATAAACAATTGAACGAGGCAACTCAAAACATAAGAGCTGTTTTAAAAAGGATACGATCACTTCTCCACATATCCGAGATACCAACACCAGCGTCAGATAGCAACCAGTAGTCCGAATCCGTCTGTAATACGATAAAAACGTCATCCAAGAGCAAAATGTCAATTGGTGAGCTAATTTAAGGTACTGATCGAATACAATTTTGAAAATTATACCCTGCTGTAAATTTGGTTTATAAAGTAGCATTCATGAAATGATAGCAAGCAACTTACGTTGCCTTCAGCAGGTGCTATTCTCATGATCCCGCCCACAAAGTCGGGATGAGAACTGGTAGGTTCAGAGGTCTGGGATGCTGCTTCATGATTCGCAGGAGGAACCAAATCTGATAAGCCATAACCTACTTCCGGCACCATAGCCATATTTCCTTGATGATCCATGGCATTGGCAGTGGTGGATGGACCAGCCTCCTGGCTACCAGGTAGGGGTTCCATGGGCACCTCCGTACGGCCTTCAAAACGGCTGCATAAGAAACGCTAACATAAGCTAATGCCTCCGTACGCCCTCGAAGATGAAAGAGGCTACCATCAAATCATCCAAAATAACCCACATCACGAGCATAAACCAACATGTACAATTCGCGAACTATACACGCGTTGAAGATAGAATCGAAAAACTTCATCAAATTGCTGATAATCTCTTCTCCTATCACATTCATGAACCAATTAGAAAGAAACCATACAAGAACCACACAAAACACTTAAGAAAATCATAAAACTATTGTTATGAATGAAGGAGCGTACGAACCTGACAAGGTACACATCAATAGGCCCCATTGTGCTGCGAAGCAGAATCTGGAAGCGCCTATGAGGGTACTCAACGGCCTGTCAGAAAACAATTTCATTCAGTCAGAAGTTCTACCTTAATGATGGTTCTATGGAGCGGTATATTCTGAGAGACGTGTAGAAAAACGAAAAAGCATGTGAAAGAAGCCAAATAAGCAAACAACTGGGTGAATTTTAGGCAAGAACGAGGGACATCATAATCAAGTATCGTGTAGCAAAATATGCTTTCTAACCTACAGACAAGGTACCTCATCTGGATCTGGCACTTCTAAAGTTGTCCCAAGAGGAGCCTTGATAGCAATAAGCGTTTCATTCTGCAAACACCGAGAACACCTAAGCTATTAGCACCCTTCAATAATATCGGATCTTTCAGAAAAAGGGGGATAGCACATAAGTCCTAGAAGGATCGCAAAGTTGCACCAAATCATGTATTCAACACCAGAATGGCACCAAGGTAGAATCTCTGTGCTCACCTGAAAACAAGGCAAATTTTTTATGTCGTCTTCAGTGACATAAAGCCATCTGCAAAGAAAGCCAAATTCTTAACAAAGAATAGTTATCTCTAAGCAATTTGTAAAGCTAAGGCTTAACAGACTCTTCATGTGCACCTATGTACAGATCTAAGCAGGAGATTCTCGACTTGCATAACTACTCTTAAAGAAAGGCACAGTTGCTACTCTAATTCATCCACCATGCATGACGCAGAAGGAGATGTCTCACTGTTTGTTGTGATCATCTTCACTTAAGCTCCTCAACCGCTCCCTCATTTCACTGCAAACCACAACATATAAGCTGGCACCCGTCAGTATGTGCTCCACAACAAGGTTCGAAAATTTCAGTTACAAATGAGGGACATAACCTAGAAAACTTCACGAAGGATAATAAAATTCACCTAATACTCTCATCAAGCTTTTTCTCTTCATTGCGCAGATCCTCCACCTCAACCTGAATCAAGACCCAAAACCAATCTAAGTCATTGAACCAAATGAATCTTCCCGCATTGGACAAGATTGACTTTTGGCATATTACACTGAAACCAGAGCGATGAAATAGATGCTGGTGTGCTGTCCTCAGCATTTTCGACAACATCCTCAAACCGTTATCTCACATGAGGAATAAGGTTCATTCATTGGATTCGCAAGACTCTTGAACAACAGACAAACAGACGATTCTGATAAATAAACAAAGTAGCTAACACATTCCTTAACCAAGACCACCATATCTAGCTCAATATCTGAACTCAAACTTGACATCCATTGGCACATAAGAAATAATTTGGCGAGTATGTAGCCATGTGACAGATGTGACATTAACAAGAATGTGGCTAGGAATGCATCTAGGAAATATGGGCTGGAATGTGAAGGCGAATAAGAGCACCTGCAATCCCACTGCGTCATCCTTGCCTTCAGTGGTTCGCACCATACCAAGTCCCCTGAGCACCGACAATCAGTAGAAATTGTTCACACCAACTCTTCAGAAGCAGAACATACACTCAATTGCAACAAAACTCTGGTTGCCGACTTTCTATGCAACTCCAAAACCCTGAAAGTGTACAGCAATTCCAACAAGGAGTAAATGAACGTGCTCACTTCCATCTGATCCGATTCTTCAGTTTCTTCTCAATCAACCCAATTCCCTCCAATACATTGGTGATGTCGTATATCCTTCTCTTTTGTACCTGATGGAACCCAGGATTGCATACCGTCAGATATCAACGACTACTAAAGACACAGGTAGCGGTTTATTTGATTTGATATAAGAAAAAAACAAAAAAACAAAAAAACAAAAAAAAAAAAAGTATTACATGACATTCAAGTCATCTGTGTTCACTATCAAGCTCTGATGAACAAATCAACAGTCATGTAATCCACGATTCACCACAACAATTGAATTCCGGAGGCCATCTTGAAGCAAGAGAGGATTGAATTCAACACTGACATGTAAAGTATCTGCAGCCTTGTTAAGATCCAACACGCCATCCTCTGCTTGCTTAATAAGGTCAATAAACTTCTTCGTCAATAGACCTGGGTAACCACGACACAAAATCGGCAACAAGTCAGCCTTTCACAAACTACTATTACTTTCGAAGGCACGATGCTCGCTTGAAAATGCATACAAACTGAAAATTAGTACAAGAACTCATTACATCTCCAAAAACATTATGATAAATTGTAGGCAAGATTGCATTACCAAGTGAGCTGTCATAGCGACAGGTACTGGTTGGAGTGGGTGCACTACTTGTTGGAGAACCTGCACATTGTTGCAGCGAAATCGGAAGTGGTTAGAGCAGCGTTTGCCGATATGTATAGTTCAGAGTTAGACAACTTGAGTTTCGCATCAAGTTCTACCACAGACCACGATCTACATAAACGATTTCTTTGGACTGTCGACCTCAACGTCTGCACGCAGCCAAATTGACATAAGCCAAAACATTACTCTGCACTCCACAGGCTTGAACATGGGGTGACTATTTTTATATCTATTATCAACCCCAGGATCGCAGGTGGTTCCAAACTCTGCACACCATTCGCTTGAACATGAGGCCGAGCATAGGATAACCCCATATGGTAACTGACGCAAAAGGGATGTCCCTAGCTGTTCATAAGCCCAACAGAAGAGAGTGCGTGTTCACATTTTGCCCCAGTGGGATCACGAAGATCGCTCCTATTGCAGCTCAATTCAACACAAGCGATTTACTACGGTCAGGTACTCCAGTTCTACCTTTCTCGCGCCTATCTCTGAAATGATTAATGACTACGTGCAGCACACTGATAATGCGTCACAATGTCCCAGCGATTGCAGGAAATCGACCAAAGAATCACAAGCTATCAGGAATGTGCTGTAAACCCCAGGAGAGAATCCGAATGCTAATGGAAACTTCTATCCCATACGTAGCTACCGATCAAGCGGAGAAGGTGGCACGTTCTCACAACACCATGTGCACTCTCGACGGTTGATCTCCAGTGGATTAGTGTGAGATTAAGGATTCGGACCCGCAAACTTATTCGCTACAAATATAACCACTTCATCACACGAGGATGCGCCATAGTAACTGAGGCATGCACTACAACAGAATTGAAAAGCAGTAAGGCAACTCTGCATAATCATGCTCCTACCAATGCCTGAGGGTCCTGGGGTCTGGGGGCCGTTCTTCGTCTGCTTCACTGTCTTGGGCCGGCTGGCTCTCCCTCTAGGACCTGTGGGAGTGGGTGCAGGGCTAAGATCTGAATTCGCGTATCCATTCCAGCCGTTCATCTCAACGTGGTGTTCTTCACACTCATTCCTCCTCTTCATCTGTTGCGACAAGAACGAACATACCATGTTAGGGTAGTTGTTCGCTATTCACATGTACACAGGGGAGATACTGATGATGTTAACACCTAGTCGAGGCACTGCAGACTCCACAAACGTCCTTGGCACCCGACCTACATGCTCGTGCACGGAGTTGGATTGGAGAAAAGAAAACGCCCTAAGGTTTAGATCCCTGCGGCAAAATAAGTCTCGTGTATGCACTTGGAACCTTCCGATACTCAAATGAAAGACCAAGATACCGTCAAATGCCAAGAAAGAGCCCTGCTCCAGTATGTGCACTGGACCGGAATTGCTCTTTCAACGTCGCCATCGTTCACAGTGATACGAGAACAGGGATCCCACAGCGATACGAGATACCTCAAAACCATTGGCGAGAGTGAGAGGAACATCGTCAACACCTACATTGGCATACAGGAGGTCGTTGATCTCCATGGGATCAATCTTGGGCTTCCCTGACTGCATGACCATCCATGTAGGGGCCTGTTGATGGGGCATTGTTACATCGCTCCCGAACCCGGGATATGACGCAATTTTTAGCGCGTCGGGCCGAAGAATTTCCATACGTCTTCCCTCTCACATTTTGCATCAAATGTGAGATGGTCGACCTAAGATCAAAGCTAATAAATAAGTAAATAAATAAATAAATAAATAAAGACACCCTACGCGGACGTGCTAATCAACACTTCAAAGCGCCAATCCGCGAAATTTCAATTTTAATCACCGATATTACGCCCGGATTAGGATAGAAGGGAAGAGCTGGAGCACATGGTGTCCAAATTCAGTATGGTGAAAAAAGTCAAAGTCATGACCTGGAGAGCCAGGGGCATGAGGTCTATCATAGCGCAACCAGTAAATAGGGCATGATACTAAGCGTCAAAAAGAGCACCGAATTGATAAGCACATGCCCAAAGTGTACAGGGCAGCAAATGTGAAACCTCAAGAATCCTCGCAAATCTCTACTTCGAGAGAAAAAATTCCCATATTAGCCTAAGCGTAAAACATGAACTCGGATAAATCCGGGAAAATGGAACTCAAAAAGTAAGTCATTCGACCCGTTGATTCTGTGAAGATCGCACACAGAACACAACCACGACCACCGATAGAAGAGTAAATGTTATATGAAGGATCTAGGGGGTACCAAGAAGCAACTGACACGCCGCGACAGAACCTTCCCCACTCCTGGAACCCCTAAGGCGCGAAAAGGACCTCTCTCTCACTACGTAACACAGCACCTCCACCTCTTATACCATCATCGTCGTCGTCGTCGTCGCCACTGTGGCAAACCTGGTCTCATCCTAAGTAAACTCACATCACCAAGTCCCTCCTACAAATGCAACATTATAATTTCTCCCACTACTCCATAATTCCCCTCCCATTTACGCACCCAAAGAACATGCCCACCTCAATAAGCCCATCTCTTCTCTCTCTCTCGCTCTCTCCCCAAACCCACACAAACACATCCGACGCAATCCAACCCCAAGTGTGCTCGAATGAGGATATCCAACCTGAAGGTTGTTCACAGATGAAGCATCCCGATTCCTGAGGGGGGACACCTACATGCAATCGTTTCTTTTATTTTGACCTCTGTTCTGTGCTGTTCTTCAACAATCAACTACCTGCAGATGAAAACTATTAATCTCCAGGTAAAAAAACCGACCCCACCGCGCTGTCGTTCCACCACTCTATTCGATTCCAACCGCAAGCATGATGAAGTCTCGGTATGGATGGCAGAGGCAGATGCTGTTGCCCTTGTCGCTGATGATGGTATCAACTCGGTTGCTGTTTCGATGCCACCACCACTCGAGACCAAAGGCACCCGAAGATTCGGTGTCCCGTAACAACATGAACGGAACAACAGAAACAGCCAACAGAATCCCCACGAGACGAGAACACAACAAAACGTAACCCAGTCTCACAGACAGACAGGAGTCGGGATGGAGAGCGAGGGAAGGAATGAGCAGATGGAACAGAAAACAGAATCCGGCGAGTGCAGCAGGCACCGAAGAAAGGGATTGTGGTGCTGTTTCGCGAGAGGAAAGGGAGGGAAGTGCTGCGAGAGGCGATGACCTGCTCGGGGCAATTAAGGCCTTGGCGGGGAAATAGTCCGGCTCCAAATGCACTTTCGTATATCAATCACACTTCAAGTCCTTCCATGGATTGATACTCCCCCTCTCTCTCGCTCTCTCTCGCTTGATACCCACCCACAATTCTTCCCTTTCCCTCGGTCCGGCGCGGTGTGGCTGATGCCCGCCCTCGTCTCGCACGCATCGGTTGGTTATCGGCGCGCCCCTGCTTGTTTCGCAGCGTGGCCTGCCTTGCCCCTCCAGCAATGCAGTAACCCGTAATTCTGTGCTGGCCGGGGGGTTTGTCAACAACTGGCAGGCGCTGATGACGAGCATTCCCCCATTTCTGTGCCCCAGTTCTGCACTGGACTCGTGGAGGGATTACATGAGCATCCACTCGGACTTCCTATTCCGAACCCTAGCCCATCACTGACTCTCTCATTCACTCACTCTTCCAGCTGCTGCATCCATTTACTGCCGTCGACATGTGAATACAACAAACAGAACCCATCAAAACCCCCAGCGAAGTGAATTGAATTGAATTGAGGACTTTGCTCTCTCTCTCTCGTTCTCTTTCTCTCTCTCATTCTCTTTCTTTCTCTGTGTGTGTGTGTGTGGGCCTGTGTGCGTTTCGCCACATAGTTAACCTGTGAATTGAAAGCTCGTTATTCCCCAGACGTTGGATATCCACAATATGCTTTCAATTCTCCACATGCTGCTGTGGACCGGTGAGGATTTGCTGCCACCTCTTTTAACTACCCACACTGGACCACACATCATGGTACATTTACAACCAACTTTACATCCTCTCTCCCTGTAGTTACAAGCTTCTCAAGTTAAATAGACAAATAACTCCCATGCCCTACTACCTTGCAAATCATTCTCTTTCTGCTTCAAAAAAATGGGTGTGAAGGGTTATAGGGTTTAGAGTCTTGTGGGAGGTTTTCTTTAATTCGCTTTTTTTCTTTTCTTCAATCTACCACCATAACATTCTTGGGGTGGTTGGCACTTGGGCTGAGTCACCAAAGTCATTGAAGGAAGTTAGGGTTTGGCAGAGAGTTGTGTGCAAAGTGGTGGTACCGCCACATGAGCTCCCCTCCCCCTCTCATCAATCAATCCCCACCCCCAAAATCAAATGAAGCTGCAGTGCTCGACAGGCCTGTGTGCCAGGTTCTCTGTGTGTGTATGTGTGTGTGTTTGCTGCTTCTGCTGCTTTCTAGCTGAGCATAGCTCTGCCACTTCCCTAAGCCCTGCTACTGCTCCCTCTCTATTTCCCCTCCTCTTGCCTCATGGCTCTTTAATGTGAGCTTGTTGTTGGCTCTCCATCCTGGCCCACAATTGTAGTTGTATCACAACTTCTGTACAATTTTTATCATATCTTTATCAAAAATTAATTGAACGTTTCTTATTGATCATTTAATTGAAGCTGTGCAGGTCAATAAGATTTCCATCACTTGCTCTCCTTTATCTGTAAGTTGGCTGTGCTTGAAGTACCAGTTTTTTGCATTGTTCAAACATTGGGTGCCAACTCTCAGGGAAAATTCACCCAAAAAAATACATCTATATATATATATATATGAAGCAGCACAATGCATAGGGGGAAAGGAGACTGTCCTTTAGGTCTATACACTACACTACAGCTATTTTTCAATCAAATTTTAGACACATTAAATTAGGTTTAGTGTAAAAAATTGCATTGACAATGTTGTATTCAAGGTCCCTAACAAGTCAGTCAGAATGCATGAATGTCAACTATTTTCTTAATTTATTTAAAAATTAATTAGATGGGGAGGGAAGAGGGGGGAGGGGATGAGAGAGAGTGAGAAAGTAGGTACTTACATGCCTTCAATTGAAATAGAATACATGGTCCTTTGGTTTTGTCTTTGATGTTGAAGGGGCAGTAAATTCAAAGCCCAGTTTCAGTGACTTGAGAGGCCAAAGATAGAACCACTACCCCCTGTGCTCCCATGGATCTCCAAGTACCCCTCTCTCCCCCAGAAACTATACACACACACACATATATATATATATATATACTACACCTCTGTATGTGTGAGAAAATCCCTTTCTTTTTTTCATGGGGACTAAAAAAGATTTGAGTGCCTTCTATCACACACTTCAGCATCCACATCACACTCCTTTTTATAAAAATATGTAAATAACCAGCACAGTAATACTAATCATTTTACGGTTGTCTGATATCCAAAGGACTTACAGGTCAACCATGATGCCCTTTGCAGTGTACACAAAATAGTGGTTCTTGCAAACTAATCATTTTATAAAGGAAAAATGAACCCAAAAAACCAAACTAATGCAAACAAAATAGAGAAGAAGACGGCCCTAACCCTAATAATGATTATTCTTGCTTCTTGTTATTAGGGCTTTGGGTGACTTCAATAACTTCCATTGCTGACTACTAGAAATGCCTGGAAATAGCAATTCTCTCATGAAGGGAAAAGAAGGAAAGACAAGAAAAATAAAAAGGGGAAAAAGGAAAGGCAGTGTCTGTATGTATTAATTAGTGTGGTTAAAGGGAACCCCCATGGAATCATGATGGGATGGATAGCAAGTCTCCAAGTACCTTTTCTGCCCCCTCTACCAGACCCATTTTAATTATGCACATATTATATATCAGTGAGGGGCCAGGGATGGGGAAAGAGGTAGAGAAAGAGAAGGATTAATAAGTGATATTAGCAACAACCTCCAGTGTGACAACTCCACTTCCTCCTGGACTCCTTGTCCCCCCCCTGCCTCCCCTCCATGTGAACAAAAACACACTACACTCACACATTAATACATAAATATATACACACCCACAAACCAAAACCCTAATTTGACCCATTAGAACCTTGTCCCTTCCTCACACATGAACCAAAACCCACCTAACTTCCCCACCCATGCGAATAAAAACGCTACACACACACATTAATACATGCAATACACATATGCACCCACAAACCAAAACCCTAATTTAACTCAATGGGACCTCATCTCTCCCTCACATGTGAACCAGAACCCACCTAATTCCTACTTTGACCACAGGACCTTCTGGTGGTAGGCCATCCTTGGCACAATCCTTTTTTCATATTTTCACATGGATACTACTAATTTCAATGCTGCTAATTAACTATTCTTATAAAAATAAAGAGTGTCAACTTTCCTTTTTCTATTTTTTTTCTAGTGGTAGGAATCCAGATGGGCGCATGGTGATGAGTGCTGGGAACATGCATGGAACACACTGGGTTAACATTTGGCTTCAACTTCCTTCCTCTTTTTTTCCAATCTTTTGCTTTCTTTTTTTTACTCCCATTTTGAATGAGTTAGTTGTGGGTTAGTGAGGAGGTGACTTCTGATTAGCCTAATCCAATCATCTAATCAAGCCCTCTTTAATATAGTGTGTGCAGTGTGGGAGCTTAATGAGGTCATGAGGATATGGCATCAATCATTTCCCATGGGAGTGGTGGCCAACCCTTGGCTGGGGTTTAGGGGAGGCCACTAACCCTGGGGCAGCATGGCTTTTAAGGAATTGAACTATGGCATTAAAGGGACATGGATCCACACCAACTTATGACTTGAACTCTGCAAAACCCTAATATCAATAAAAAAAAAAAACCAGATTTTACCAATATTTTTATAATGTCTCCATTCATACTCAAACCCTGCCTTCTCTCATTCCAGACTGTCTCCCAGGGATGGACAATCTGGGGCCATTGGAGCATTGATGCATGAGGAGTTGGCCCTCAGCAAATGAAGAATTAGGGTTTTGATTTGGGGGGATAGAAACTACAACCCTCAGTTCTGTGAAACGCTCACTAAATTATTTTGAGGATTTGTCATGAAAAAATCACGTGTTGGGTTGTGTATTCTCAGCTACTCATGTCCAATGTACATGCTTTGATGAGTATATATATAATCTACAACTATAGTATTTATTCACCTACATTCTTGTTTAGTTGTAGTACTATTGTCAGTTTGTGTCATTGCTTCAAACTCATAACCGTACTTTATTACTCAAGCAAAACACTAGTATAAATGAATACTTTACTTCTTATGTAAGTTTTCTTGTTATTATCTATAAAATTACAGTCAGTATTAATGATTTGCAATCTTTATACAAATAAAAATGAAAGGATGTTAAGTCAAATATTCAAATTATATATACACATACACACACCCGCGCTAACACGATTTGAATGCATCATGCTTATACTTTTGAATTAGTTTGTACAATTCACTCAAGATAGTTATTGTGTAAAGTGCCTAAATGCTCCTATCAACAATCGGAAAAAAATAAAAAATAAATAAAGTATAAGCTACAAACCTCAACTAATTTCAACAAAATAATATCAATACTGTATTAGTTTCATAAACCATGAAAAAGTCCACTCAATTTCATAAAGAATGGTAAGTTGTTGACATGTGCAACTTCAAAACCACAAAAATTATTGTTAATAAAGAAAGGTGATCACCCACTTTCTCTGTTAATTAATTAATTCGTCTGTACATACAAATACCTCTATTTCTAAAAATGCGTCGCTATAAAGACAAATTCCTCTAGGGTTAGAACGTAGGGACGGAAATAGGGTCAAAGATAAGTGTCGGTCACCGTGTCTCCTATCCCCGAGTGATGGGCTGTTATTAGGTCCCTGAGGAGTTCACGGGCACCCAATACCATGACCCATATCCTATTTCCGTCCACCTTGAAAAGGGCAGGGTCCCCTCTCTCTCTATGCCATTTAGGTTAAGCTAGCCCTAAAATTAAGCTTAACATAATGGGCCTTTCATATATATATATATATATGTATATCTTCTGGTAATGGGGAAAGGATCAAATGATGTAATTCTTATTATTCTTTATCCAATGTCCCTTTGAACACTTGAATAGTGCACAAGCTTGCACTATTGGTGCTTGAATATCCAAAGGCATAACAACGCTCATTCTATAAAACTCCTATCTATATCACAAAATCATTATTTGCTAATCTCAACATTCATAAAAGCAATTTCCTAATAACTTTTTTTTCTTGCCTTTGAAATCAACTTTATCTTCTTTCTATATGTTATTTTATTTATTTGTTTGTTCATTTATACTTAAGTGAGTGGTTAAGTATTCATCTCGTTTTCTTGTCCACCATGTATAGAACAGCTTTAACTTACAGCAGACCACTAAATCTTAGCCAATATTAACCAATACACACCAATGATTGGATCTTAATTTTCTAATTTTATTTTTTTTGCAAATTTCAGTTATTGCACACCATATTGCTCGCTCCACATGCTGTAAGGAATGCTTTTTATGTGATAGTTCAATTGCCAAATATGCTTTATAGATAGAATTCAAGGCAGTTGAATAAATACATAGAGAGATGGGTGTTTATAAATGTCTAATTTTGGGTGATTATGGAATGTTTTATTAGTGTTGTTGGAGAATTATTGACACATTGTGATATGAGAACTGTTGCTTTAATTTTGGGTTGGACATGACATGAAATGCACAGTATTAAAACAAAAATTACATGTGTCTAATCATAGTCTTTGTAAGAATCATAAATCAGATTTGTAGTAATTAGTAATTAGGAATATAGTTCGTATCAACAATGGAACATGGTGTTTTGAGTATAACACATGGACTTTTATTACAAGAAATTGTGATGCCCAAAATGACAATCAGATTCATGTAAATTAAAAAAAAGAAAAAGAAAAGGATATGTTTCACATTTGAGCATAAATGTATAATACACGCATGAGAGAAAAAGGATGATGGCTTGGTTTATATGTTACTCAATAAGATATTATTACCAAAAAGAATTAATGCATAAAAATCTACATTTGAACTTAATTATAAAAACGAACTGCAATATCATGTTTATTATTACTTTAAGTTCAACATTCTCTAATAGTTTTCGTTAAGTTTATCATGTCATCCATGTATTAGTTTCTGACATTCTGTTCAAAAGCATTCATTCTTTGACTTGGATTTGACATCAATTCCTGCACAGAATAGCAATCTTTAGATTAACATACTGTGATAATAATTAAGAATTAAATAATAATATATACTGATATTATAAATTACAGTAATTTTACTCGTAAGTGTTATAATCTAATCAAATAATACCATAAAATTTTAATAAAATAACATTATGTCTAGTATTAATATATATATATATATATATATATGCATGCACACACTCAAATAATTAATACTTAAGAAACATTTCAATGTTCTTTATTACTATTAGTCATATCATGAAGCTGTCTTCTTTCAATATCTCAACTTAACTAAGTCATGGTCAAGAGTGTGATTCTGCTCATGTTTAAAGTTTTGGGGTCCCATTATTTGATCACATGACCTAAAGACACTTAGTTGTGTCATCACTCCATTAATAAAACAGTAACGAAAGTTTCATGAATTCTCTTGATGATTTCAAGGTCATTTATGATGTGGCAGTATGAAGGTGGAGACATCATTTTATTGGAGTTTCTTATTGTTATTTAATACTTAATAATATGCTACTTTTAGCACGACCAACCTATTAGCTTCCAAGTATGCAAAAATGGTTGTCAACAAGGCACTAACACTAACTACAGTATTGTGATGTTTTTGGGATCTCTACAGAACTTGCAAAATGTAAAATGTAATAAACACCCACACTCTAAAATAATGCAGTGTTTTCAGTATGTGTAAACAAATAATATCATAAATATGAGATTGTAAAATCAGTATTTGCATATGGGTATTAAAAACTATGATTGAAAAAACAAATTTACAAACAATTTTGCTTCAATTATGCAAGTATATATATATATAGATATATTTTCTAGGGCTTGATTAATTAATTATTTAAAAATCTACAGCAATTTCATTTGGATTGAAAATATTTTTGAAAATTTTGAACACAAGCGTTTACTTAACATGTTACCTCAGATGGAGTTTGTTTTGCTTTTTTTTGCTTTTTTTTTTTGCTTTTTATTGGTTTTTTTTTCTAAATACTAAAAATTAAACATATATAATAATTATTTATTTTGATTAATGTATATCAGTAATAAGAATAAATAAAATAATCACTTTCGGAAATTGATGTTATGTAAGACCTCTGCATGTTGTGATTTGATGTACTAGATATTAATGAATTTGGACATGATTAAAAGTCAAGATATTATTTTGGTAAATGAGGTTAGAGACATTGGACTCTTCATATTAATAATTGTAGACGATACTAACATTACTCTATCCCAATTTAATTATTTCAAGTAGCTGAAGACTCAAAATTCGGAATGTAACACTTCTACTTTACACTGCTCAAACCAACATCAAAACCAAGTTTTGTTCTTCTGACCATTTTATCTAGTTTTGACAGTATCAAAATTTCATTTTATTTGAGAAGATAATAATACTTTAAGTGAAACAAAGCTAATTTTCTGAATGTATACATATACACATTCAAGTATATGAATTCATTTATACAATTGTAGATGTACTACCACTTCGAACAATGGTATAAAAGTCATTTGTTTGTTTAGATAGTTTACTAGGGAGATGTACTGGTGAAGTAGTATCATATTTGAAGAACTTGTAACGCATGAAAAGTGATTTCACTCACCCGAATTATGTTTTGAATGATAATTGTGAAGAAGTCATGGTTGAACAAACTGTACGCATGTTCTCTGCTATTTCAGAAATAGTTGTTGGAAAGTAAACCATAGATTATACAGACGTGTGATAACAACAATCGGCTAGATGTGAACATGTACAGGTTGGACCAACAAACCGTTGTGCTCATGAGTTTTCAAACGAGTAAGACTGCACCCAGTGGTCGAGACAAGAGTTTAAAAAGGAAAAAGGCGCTTCCATACCAATCATTTCACTGATGACTAACCTCCTCAAATCTCGGCGCTTATGGCAAGAGTTGCTGTATTTAAGAAATGCTTAAACTGGACTTTAATTTTTAAAAAATGACTCCGATTTTAACTCGAAGTCATTGACCAAAAGATTAATGGCGCCAATGTCTAAAAAGCAAGACTTTGATCCACGTCAGTTGGGAAATCCCCAAGCTCAATAATTCATATCTTTTCTGGTAAGTTGGTAATAATTTGCAACGAGTTGTAGAAGTAGGAAACGAAGTAAATATTCCCAAGGGACCAGACGGCAGGACTCTATGCAACATATGCTCCACACCTCTACCACGGGGAGAAAATAGCGACGATGTCCATTAAGCTATGATCTAATGTTCGAGGCGTTGCCTAGAGCTAAGAAGAGGTTGTACACTTCCATCAAAGGATATGTGCCAATGCTAGTTTGTTCATTATTCTATCACTAACATGGAAAACCCAAAAATCGATACAGTGTGCAGCTGGGGAAATCTGAACCAGTACAGTCGGACTTCTAATGCTTTCTCTTCTTGCTAGGGCGTCCGTCCTTGTCGCCACGTCCTGAAGATCTATTACGGCTAAACTTGTCTTGGCCCTCACCTTTTTGATTACGCGAGCGAGACTTCCCTCTGAGCTTATCACTCTTATCCGAGAACTTCTTACTTGATCCTGATCCTCTTCCAAATGATTTTCCAAAATTACCACCAGGTTTCCTGTCAACTCTTTTCTCGCTGCTTCTGTTGGATCCCTTATCTGTTCTGATCGGCCTCTCTTTCCGATCCTCTCCTTTCTCTCGGCGCTTGGAGAAATTGGAATTATATTTGCTAGGTGGTCTTCTGTTGTGTGTCTGACCAGCCAAAAAGCCTGCATTCATTAAGGAAAAGAAATCATTTTCTCATGTCGATCATGTGTGGGGTGTGACCCGGAGATCAATGAAGTTCCAACAGGTGAAGCTTAATCGACGAACGTGGATGTAACCATCTCATAAATTCTCAAGGCACCAAAGGAGCAAAGATTCTGCAAGGAGCAGTTTGGAGAATTCGAAAAACTGCGAGGTAAAAAGATTAAAACTAAGAGAAAAAGAAAGAAAAAGAAACCAATTTGAACTTACCTTCATCAGGTTCCTCCCCTACTTCCTTCCTATACCAGTCAGCGTCTTCCATATCATCATTTTCCACTCCACCACCGCCAACTGGACCTTCGTCAGGACTCATTTCAGCTTCATCATCTGCTACGACGTCGTAGTCTTCCTCCGGCTTGTCAGTACTCTCCACGAATTTCCTCTTTTTCTTAGAATTCCGTTCCTCTTCCTTCCTCTTAACGTTAGCTTCCTGCTCTGCTCTTCGTTGTTTACGGAGTGCTTCACGTTGCTCTTTAGAGTTTCTTAAAGCTAAGATCTCTTCTTCCGTTTTCTTTACGTACTCGTGGAACATAACAGCACCATCACAAAGACCTTCCTCAACTTTAACCAGTTGCAATGTCATCCGTGGTCCGATTTCGTGCAGTTTCACAGCGCTCCGCTGTGAGGCGTGATTGCCTTTGCCAAAATCATCCGCCAGCTCCACCTTCGATGCCTCATCTTCAGCTTCACTCTCCGATCCATAACCAGTTCTGTGAATTACACGCAGTTAAATACCAACATACCGTAAGCCTACGATTTCGAAGAAGAGAGCCTTTAAAATATTCTTGAGCAGAGGGAATCCAAGCTGAAACCTCATCCCAGCCCCACTCAAAAAGATTCAGGCATAAAATTTTGCGAAAAAGAAGGTCGACGACAACTCACTTATTTACAAACTCGCTAACGTCACTCAGTTTGCTGAGATCAGGGAGCTTCTTGCGCTGGACAAGCTTCCTTATGTTCCGAGACACACCCACTGGTTGCGCTGAAACGGAATAGTGGCGGAAATCGATGCACTTGGTCGTCTTGTCGTAATTAAGAAGCAAAACCCTTTGGCAATTACTCAATTTCACCTAAAACAGAATACGAGATACTTCAGAAAATTTGCAAGTCAACTATATTCTAGATTAACTTCGATAAATGACTCTACATCCATGGTAGCACAGAGAAGACACAAAGACTCGGGTACCAATAGGATACTGGATCTTACCGTATTCACATTGATGGGAGGAACTATGTTTTGGAAAACAACAGCAATCAGCTTTAAATGTTCTTCACCGGTCGTTAACCCGTTCATCACAACCTACATCAACGCATGGTTCGGCATTCAGTATGGCACAAGAAAAATGCAAGATTGACAATGAATTCCAAGCGTAGTGATTGCGCGTGGATGCAAGCACTGCTATAAGGTCGCCAATTCACAAAACGGAAATCATGGAACCGTATTCGGATAATAAAGTTTGATTCGCTTATACTTCGCTTCTATGGGCAGATAAGTGCATACCAGGGGGGGACTCTTGAATATTGCTGGAGGTGCTCGGGGCCTGGTCTGTGCTCTGGCGACATCAGCAGCCAGTGAATACGCATGTATTTTGAATGTGAGCGTAGGTCCATGCGGACTTCGAGCCAGTCGAAGATATGGAGATGTCTTCGTGTTGGACAAAATCATGAAATGTGTCACTCCAAGAGGAGCAGCCACATGCACAAAATCTTTCATTGAATTTCTCTTGGACTCCTGATATACAACACAGTACCAACCTTGTTTCAGACAAAACATTCTTCCCCTTAAAAGCAATCAGTGCCATAATCCAAACGAGGCAAGAAACCCAAGTATTTAAAATTTAAATTTAATTCTTGATTATTTTGAGCATAGCTGCTCCTTCAACTCATTCTCCAACTAGGTGGTTGAACATTTGAGCGCACAAAAAATGCTCAAACCAGGCAGCTCCGTCGACGATTGAATCTTTCTGAACTGTTGAAGCCCGCTCAAGTCAAAGAAATTACTATAAATTGTCTCATGGTGAGGGGCATGGACCATACTCTGAGATTGAGCGCCGTATGCGGCATCATGACCTTACGCAAGTCCTTCTCCAAGTTCCGCAACAGTGCCGGTAATTTCCCACGCGAAAACACGAAACTCTTCGGGATTTTATCACCTGGAAGAGCTCCTGCATTATCCTGCGTCGGGTCCTGGGTTCTCTTCTTCTTCTGCACGTCACAAAACCAGCAAAACCCACAAACCCCATGACGTCTCGTTCATAAACCCTAGGTATCAAAACTCGTAGTCTAAATTCAAGGGAGGGCATACCATGACCTGAACACGACAAAAAAACTCCCAATCCCTACCAAAGACTCAAATGCCAACAATAAGACGAGTAACAGTCACAAAACAGGCATTCCAACACCAGAATTTGCCATTCAAGTCACAATTGGAACTGGAAAAAAGCACTCACCCTCCTGGTACGACCCATACTGCTCAGTCACCGCAAAGAAACACCAACAGCGCTCAATTCAGACGCTTGAGACAAGCCGAGTGACACAAAAATCTGCCAAAACCCCCAAACCCTCGGAGCTGCAGATACAGCTCTGCCTCGTCTTCGGTGGCGGTTTAGGGCTTTGAGAGGGGGGGCTTTGAAAGAACCTCCACAAAACCGCTCCCGGACCGTGCCGCCATCTTAGGACCGGAACCGGACCTAGCTCTGGATGAGGATTGGTTTTCAGGTGAGGCACGAGACCTTGCAAAGGGGGAATATTCTCGAGGTTCGTGACTTCCGAGGCCGAAGTGGGTTAAGATTTGGCGCCAGCAAATCTCAGGGAGCTTTAGGGTCCTCCAGTGAGTAGCGTGACATGTCAGCACCTTTTGTACAAAGAAAAATAGAAAAAAAAAAAAAAAAAAAAAAAAAAAAACACCCAGTTTGTTATGTATCAGAAAAATTATCACCTTCCTTAAGCTAATTTCGACCGAAAAATGATGCACAATCTTCACAAAATTGCAACTGTTCCTTAGTGAACCGATTGTGTGTTCACTTGACGTGACTGATGGTACCCACATGACCCAACTCGCTGTGAAGACTTCTAAAGCATGAGATCGTGTGTGGAGAGGTGGACGAGGATTTGTGTTTGCATATGGGAAATGGCTGTGCTGAGTGAGAGAGCTTGAGATTCATCGCCATCCGGGACGTATCCGTCTCTTGGCGCCGCGGGAAAGTGCCGGATGTTGTCCGGTGCCGAGATCCAGAATGGTAAGAAGCATAAGAGACTGAGCCTTGGTAGCAGCAGCAGCAACAGCAGCTTCATGAGCACCATCGTGCTGCTGAAGGAATTTCACACACATCTGCGTCTAGGTTGTCTTTGTGGCCCACTCGGACGGATCCCTTCGTTCCTGCTACACTGCTCGCCCTATCTTTCGGCAAGGTCAGTAGTTACGAAGGTGCTCTCTTCGTTGCTGGCTAACCATGCATTGAGAGTGTGTGCCTGTGTGTTTTAGGAAAATCTTTTATTGTTCTGGAGTGTGAGGTTGGGGATGTTGGTTTGCGTTTGTTTCGAGTTAGCCAGGCTTTGTTAGTTCGGGCGGTGGTGGCGATGGCTTTGGTTTGTGGGGTCGCCGGATTTTTGATACAGAGTGTTGCGGAGAGGTTTGAAGGGGGCTGGGGCAGCTCCGGCAGTTTGGTGTTCCTGGTTTTCTATCAATAGAGGTCTTGGTCCAGGATTCGTTCTTTGTGACGAGGAGGTTGCTGTGTAGAATGGTGTTGGTTTTATGCTCGTCGCTATCGACTTTCGTGACAGATCAATTGTGACTGTGTGAGCTGGGTTTTGGCTGTGGGTTGTTATGTTTTCGGGGAATGTTGCATTTCATTCATTTTGATGTTTCCTGTGACAGTACACCCTGCAACCCTTGCGCGTGCTGGTGCGAGAGGACTGTTGTCTTTTCTCGAACTCTGGGATTGAATTGTCACGTGATGCTGTGTGTTGATGCAGTGTGGTGGACCTCTTTAGGAATCGAGGAAGCTTGTCAGGCACCCTGATCACCTCAAGCAGCTGCTCAGGATATAGGGATGGAGTTTTTGAGTGCTTTTTTAAATGCCATATCATTCTATATCCCACAGTACACGGGCTTGTCACCCATCACATTCTTCACGATTGCTGCACTGGTTTGCGGTATATACTTTTTAATATCAGGTCTCTTCGCACCTGCGCCTGCTACGTATGCCCCCCTGAAGCCACTGCCGCCTCCCAGACAGTTCGGGGAGATTACTGCGGAGGATCTTCGAGCCTATGATGGTACTGATCCTGACAAGCCTTTGTTAATGGCTATCAAGGGTCAGATTTATGATGTTTCTCGATCAAGGTATGTTTCTGCTATGTTGAGAGATTATTCATCTTTTTCTGACCTATGTTCTCCGCAAAGACTCAATGATTTAACTCCACTCTGTCTGCAATTTTTCACGTCTGCCTTGAGTGTACTGATTGGATGGGAAATGATTGTGAACTTCAAGCGCTCCAACAGGACAAGCAAAATGCATCCCTCACAATGTGTATTGGAGAAATTTGATTTGTCGTAGAATGCAAAGGTTTCCAAGTGATTCAAGAGGATATTCTGCTGAACTCAACATTTTTCAGTTATGGTTGTGGTACTCGAAATTTTTATATTTAGCCATACCGTAACGAATGCACTACTACTTCAGGATCAACCTACATTTTCTGAAATTGTTTGCTACTCCTGCAAGCTGTAGCAAGTTTATATTTCCACTTTTTATTTTTGAGGTTTTATTGCTGTTATTGACATTTTGTATTTGCGGACTCTCTGCGGCTAATAGATAACTGACTCCTGTTTGTACATGAATAAGTTTTCGTGTGCTCTATCACAATGATTTTACTCAATGTTCCTCTGATTAGAGAAATGGACCATTCTTTCGTTAGAATTTCATTGTTACTTTCATTTGGGTTCCTATTCGATTTTCAACAGTGCAGGCTTGTAGCGTAATTTAGTACTAAGGTCCAATCCATTACCCTGCGGATTTTTTTCTCTGTTCTGGTGCATTACTCTCTAAAAGGTTTGTGCTTCACAAGGGTGGTTTCTGCTTCTGGATACTGTTTAGGGGTCTTTTTTCTCGAATTCTATGCGTGAGATTCACAGCTGATTACATTCTCAGATTTACCGTAGAATTTCCCTTGGACCTTGTTACAGGGCGTTCTACGGCCCCGGTGGGCCATACGCACTCTTTGCTGGAAAAGATGCTAGCAGGGCCTTGGCCAAAATGTCCTTCGAGGAGAAGGATTTGACTGGCGACACTGAAGGGTTAAGTGCCTACGAGGCTGAAGCTCTGACTGATTGGGAGTACAAGTTCATGAGCAAATATGTGAGAGTGGGCACTGTCAAGCAAAGCCCTGTTTTGGATAAGAGTGAGTAGATTCCAACTGTATCCGGCGGCAGAGAAACTGCGGCTCCTGACGCTGGTTCGGAGACAGTAAAGGCTTAGTGGAGTAGTAAATTGTTTTTGAGCTTGTGGAATTGGGGACCATCGGAAACTGGAATTTGACTTCCCATTTGTACATGCAATTCTACAGTTTGAAAAAGAAAATAATTTGTTCCACTGCAGAGTTAATGAGCGTAGTGTTTCCGTCAAGGCAAATCAAACTGTTCTCGGGTCGTAGGCTTCAGGAGATATTAATAGTTGCCGTTCTATCTAAGTCTATTGCACTTTCAATAAGTATTTTATGTGATCAGTGTGACCAGCTGCTCAAGTTTCTTAGACACTTGAAGGGGCGTAATCAGCTGCTAGGAATCTCCCAGTTATTTTTCCATCACCGCACTGACACCCAAATTTTAAGCATTACTTACTCAGGATGTTGTACTAGTTTATGAATTGCTTTACACCGATGATTTCTGGGACTGTTGAGTTAGCCTGCCATTGAATCTGTTGCAACATTGCCTGGATTTGCCATGCAGAACCGAGTCAAAAATTGAATTCTTGGTTTGTATCCGGTGGAGTGAAAAATTTGGAAACGTCTGCATCTACGGTTGGATTGCCTTTTGCTTGTTCAATATGGCAGTTGAGTTAAGAAGTGGTGATCCGAAAAATCTGTTGTCATTTACACCTCCAAGTGAAGCTCGAATAAACGATAATGATTTATTTTCGGTGCTACTTTGTTTCATGTGTGGAAGAGGCCCTGCAGTCTGTGTGTCCGATTGTTGTGAAAGATACTCAGGTGGAATGTTTGACCCAAGTTTTTGAGACAAGTATTTGATGTCCCTTGGTTGATTATAACAATATAGTAATTTCCATTACTGCATTTCCATTATTACTTAGGGTTGAATATATATGTTTGCTTGGCAGCCACTTTTGAAGATTATTCTTCACAACTACCATTCATTCAACTTGTTGTCTTAGAATGATCAGTACTCCTATGGAAGTGGATTTATGGAAGTGGATTTTAAGGGTAAATGGTTGAACTAAAGCAAGATAGTGTAGTGGCAAGTAAATAATGTCAGTTATAAAAAATTGCCCACCTTAGCATGGGTCCCAAAAACCAATTGAATAACAACTACTACTTTGTTGTTGTTACTTCTACATAATTTTTTTAAGATCATCTGAAACATTGTTATATTGGAAAGCAGCATAATATATAAAAATAATATGAAATATTCCGAAAGTTAGATAATAATAAAGAAATAAAAATAAAATAAAATAGTAAAAAATGATAGGCAAAAGAAATAGAGAATGGATGAATAAAATAGTGTAAGAGAGGATTGTGATAATAAGCATAAATTTTGGAGTCTTTATATCTTGTCACATGCTCAAGGATGGTAAGTGATGTCAATTGGTAAGCTCATGCTTAGTTTTTATTAACATTACTAAGCCAAGTGGTTGTAGTATTGCTCAAATGGATTCGACAAATTTGAACCTAAATTGGTGTTATGCCATTTGAAGTACTTCACCATCTAAGCTTCTATAGCTTGATATTTGAGCTATGACATCTATTTAAAAGGTTGTTTAAAGCACAAGAAGATACATATTCAAATAATTAAAGATCTACAAATTCATTGGCAACATCGAATTGGTCAAAAAAGGCATGCTTCAAGGTGATCTGACTTGTACAATTTTGGGCTATTAAAATAGGATTTATGGCCATTTTGATATTTTTCAAGAAAGATAAGGGTTCTTCTTAGCTAAATTAGTCTTTTAGAACATGACGATGAAGTTGGTTTGTTATTTTGAAGTTTAGATTAGTAGGAAATAGGAAGGCAATAGTGGCTAATAAGGTAAAGGCAATTGGATGTTGCCATGCATTAAATTGGAGTCTTGTGGTTGAATTAGAGTCTAGAAGTTGAGAGATAGGAATTGACCTTATCTTTCTTTCTTCTCTCTGGATTATTTTTATTTTTATTTTTTTTTCATTTTTTTATTTTTTTTTCCTATTTTACTTTTAATGCTAGAGTTAGAATCTTTAAAGGTTTAAAATCTTAGAGTGTATTAAAAAATATAAAGTCTCTACAAGTAAGATATTTTGTTTTGTGATACAGATGATATCCAATTTGGATTGAAAAATATCTTATTATAGGTAATTGCTTCCAATAATCTAAATAAAGAAGGAATTTGAAAGCCTTCAGATTTTCTTGAATCAGTCTTTTAGTTTTCAAAATTTAAAGATGAAATGTTTTATATAGATGCTCTTCGTTATTAACTCTTTAACAAGCTAAAGATCACCAAAATCAAAACTTAGATAAAGTTTTAAATAATTTTTGAATAAGACAAGGTTTGAAATCTTAGCAATGTTAGTCACCTATTTTTGAGGAAGAATACCTGATCCTTCAAAGATTTATTTGTTACAATTATTTTTAAAGAAGTACACTAAAGATCATTAAAATTAAAGTTTCGATGAATTTTTGGTGAATTTTCAAATAAAGAGGGCTATTGCCATCAACTAGAGTGGACTTGAAGCTCTCCTTCAGTTCCCATTCAAGTTCTTATTTGGATTCCCAACTATGTTTCTAAGCTTTTGCAAGTAGAAATTTTATCTTGTATTTTTATCTATTTTATTTTTTATTTTTTATTTTATTTTATTTTTTCTTTTTATTTTAGGTTTAAAAAATAAAACTTTATCTATACATAACCCTAGAACCTTATATTAGAATATAGAATGTGAATCCATCTTGGAAATCTTTAGAAGTGTACTACAACGTGATTATATTGATTTTTCTACTCCCATAATAGAAAAAAAGATAGTAAGGATATTAGGAATTATTATGAAATTATAATTGATGATAAAATAATTCTTGGCTAAATCAACTAGTCTAATTCAAGAATATCACAAATCTTTTTTATTTTTATTTTTATTTTATTTTTTCTTGATCTTTGGTTATTTATCTCTTGATGCATTTTTATTGTTAATAATGCCTCACTTTCTCATCAAGGTTTGCAACTTATGTCTCTCTCATATATTGAATATATAATTCTATTTAATATACATCTCACTTTTTAGTATACTATAATATTCTTCTATAAATTACAAATTTACAATTCCCTCAATATTTTTCATTAAACAATCTTTGACCTACTTTGCTATCTTTTATAGTTGGAGCAAGTTTTTACATCAACGTCTTATCTACCTTATAAGATACAAATCATGATCTTTGTTTTAATATGCTTTGCTATCTACTTTCTTATAGCTCATTGCTTGTAAGCAAAGATGACAGACATCTAGTCCTTTATTAGTTAGATCTTAAAAACCATTGCTACAAGGTTCTTTTAAAAATCTTATATTAATATGCCAAATATTGTGTGATTGTAAATCCACATCTAATAATCAAATCTAATTGAATCAAAAGCCCTTGCTGTATTTGTAAAGTAAAGAGAAAAGATCTAAAAAAATAATAAGCAAGGTGTATGTTGTATTACAAGATTTGTTCCAAAACTAATAGAATTTCAAATGAAGTGCATATTTAAAATATTATTGAGTAATTTTTAATGTATTCATTGAAGTACACAAGTTATTTAGATAAAGAAGGTAAAATTAGAACATTGTGACCTCTAAGATGGATGAAAGTTTGTTAAACCTAAAACTATCACACATATAAAAATAATTAATAATTATTCTATTTTAATACACCATCTTAACTATATCATGGTGGAGCTAGGATTTCTCCTCCAAGCAAGCCTATGAGTGGTAGATATTGGATAAGCTTTGGTCTAAACAACAATTTGGTAAATAAATCAAGTCACATGTAATGCATAGAATAATATGGAAAGTAGAATTTCTTGAGTATCAATAATTGTTGAATGAAGTGGTATTCTATAATAATATGTTTTATTTTGGAATAAAATTTTGTTGTATTGTCGAGTGTAAAAATTAATTAATTATTTTGTTGATCACCATAAGAATGTTTAGAGTTTTGTGCTATAATAAATCATGGAATAAATGCTGTGTCCATATCAACTCCGAGGTAGTTATAGCCTTAATTATATACTTTGCTTTTTGTATTGGAAATAGCTGTCAAACATTGGCAGGTGGAATTCTAATTGAGAACACAATTTGAAAGTAGAAATTAATATTCCAAGGTTGAGCATCGTTCATTAAGGTCTCTAACCTATTCAATATTAGAAAAGCCATGCAGGAACTCAAGGGACCTCAAAAGATGGTGATATTTAAAATGATATCGAATTGTGCTTCTTATATAACAAAAAACATGTTTATAAGCTCTCACATGAATTAGGCTTGGATCATGTATGTACTAGTTTAAAACACTTACTGCAAAAGAAAAGTTAAGCCACATGTAAATTGTGGCTTAATTTAAGGATTCCATCATATTAACATAATGAAACTATTGTTAGGGACATATGCATGTAAGCCAATAATTACCTGTATAAATAGGTAGAAGTAAGTAAAAGTAAGTAAAAGTAAGTAAAAGTAGGTAAAAGTAAGTTAATTCTATAATATATTCTATACAAGCTTCTTAGAAGCTTTGTAGACATTGCTTTGACTTTATAAGTGTCTTCAATTGACTTTTTGGATTAGAAACATGGTCAATAAGTTTGCCATGTGCCACACATATTGTTAGCTTGAAGACCAAGTTAACTATGTGGCCCATACATAGAAAAACTTGCCTTGTAAATCAAAGCATGTATCCTACAAAGTCAACATATATTGGAGGTCCTATAGAACATTGCCACGTAGCCCCTAGTTAGATAGTATATATAAAGACAAGAGTGAAGCCCTCTTCATTTTTGTCAACTCTTTTCTTGCTTTTAGTCTAGTTTCAAGAGTCTCAAGTTTTCTTATCTTTTGGCAATAAACCATTCTAGTTTCTTTTAATATACATACTTCTTTATTCTATTTTTCCACTTTTTCTTTGACATAGATTTCATTAGTTTATACATCATTTTTTAGTTCATGTCCTTGACAGATTGACGAGAGTGCACTTACAATATCAGAGCTTTGTCTTGTCTCGATTAAGAATGGATTATTTCTTTGTTATAATGAGACATAAGCATATTAGAAGTTGCGGATTACCTTCTTCTAAATTAATATTATTCTTAGTATTTTCTTTGTCCTCAAGTTATTTTCATCTACTTATCTTGAGTGGTATTAGATATTTTTTTGAGTATTATTATGGCAGAGCTTGTTGAAATGAAGAGTGCAATGGCACAAATGCAAGAGTAATTGAGGGAATTGATGCTTGCGATGTATTAACTTAGCTTACTACCATAAGGATCAACAAGAATGGCAGGAAGTGAGGATATAGAGATGATTAGAGTTGCTTCAATATTTGTACCAAATCATGTCCTTCTACCCACAGTGAAACATCCTTCAAGTATTAGAGAACCAAGAGTTGCTTTGCTTGAGAAGTTTGATGGTACAAGATCCAAATTTCGA